GGCAGACGAGCATCCGCGTACCACACGAAGAAGAACCGATTCTTCCAGTCATGGATGGAACTCGGTGCTCCGCTGAACAGCCTCCGTATCGGACGAGCTGCAATGCTCAGGAAGCCGTCAGAATTTTGGGGGGTGAGCCGGTAGAAGTAATGGAACAAGTCCAAAGTGGCGGTGACCCCATTGTCCTTGCAGCGGACTAGGAAGGCGGAGACGAACCGATAGGAGTTCGGCATGAGTTGTGCGGGGGCTATCTGGTAAAAACAGAAGAATTCCACGAAGAACGGATGAAGAGGGAAGCGCAGCCCGGCCTCGATGGAGTCCAGAAGCACCATAACCATCCCTGGACGTCTCCTCATCACGTGGGTTGCGCCGCGCAGGCTGTATACGGACGGAGGGGGAAAGAACACTTTCAATTTGTTGAGGGCCACCTGCGAGAAGATCTGCTCATGGCACATGACATTCTTGATCGGGCACAGATGCCTCTCCACATCTATCTTCAGCCCAAGTTCGAATACTTCGATATCGGAGCCGTCCTGAGCCTCAACCCCAGAGTCATACCCATCTGGACGCTCGTCCTCACCGGCGGACTCCTGTTCCCCGGCCTCAGCCACGGGATCCACTACATCAAGGGCCATATCCCCTTGTTCTCCCAAATCAGCACCTTCTTCACCAGGAACCATCACAGTAACCATATCTTGGGCCTCCCCGGCCTGAACCGTTCCCACGGTAGAGGCTGAGCCAGAACTCCCGGAAGTGCTAGTTTCACCCGAAGAGCGTGAACCGGAGTCAGAGGAGGAGCCCGAGGAAGAACCCGATGAACCCGAACCAGAACTCGACGAGATCTCCATCGAAACCATCTCGGCGAGAATTCGAGACAAAGAAAAGAAGCAGGGGGTGGAAATTACCTTAGAAAGGGGTTAGCCGAGCTTGAAAGCGGGAGAAGACTTGAAGAGCTGCGGGAACGCGAGAGCAGGAGAGCAGAAATTGAGAACCCTAATTTAGAGGAAAAACCCGGCATTTATAGGAGAGACACCGGCGGGGGGACCAACGAGGGACGGACACGTGGCAAGGAGCGTATTCCGGCTCACGCGCCGTGCGTGGGACGAAAGCGTAATGATAGCGTTTCCTCGGAAAATGCACCGCCGCTACAGCAGCCGTCACCTCGTTTCCTGAACCGTCGACAGCTGTTAAGCACCATGACCACGAGCGTACGCTTCCGCCAGATGCAATAAGACACAAGTATCAAGACACGGACGTCCATTTCGGGGCACCTATACTTCCTTATGTCCTGCGCATGCTCAGAACATCAGAAGTGGGGGACTTGTGTTGGGATAATGGCCCAGGCCGAGGTCCGGCCCATTAACCCCTTTTTCTATCGGACGCACGTCATGCTAGGACCAGGCTGGGCGCAGGCCCATGACCCTTGGGAAGGGACGAACGTCTGGGATTGGAGGGTCCAGGTTCACACTGGCCATCGCGACGAACGTCTGTGCAGAGGTAAGGGACAGGACCACTGGCCATCAGGGATAACGACGAACGTCTCCTGGGCAGGCCCATGATCGTCGAAGGAGATCCAGTCCACATGGAGAGAATCCACCAAGGTCAGGGGACGAACAACCGAAGTCTCTTGAGGGTTGCTTGGAGTGACCCAGCTCACCCCCTGGCGGACGAACGTCCCCATTATTTAGGCGGGAAGCCTAGATTCTGGCGGGAAGTGCATTTAATACAGAAGATTTGGTGGTTGGGACACAAGCGGTCCGCAGGCCTCCACGTCAGCATAGCCACCTGCCCATTGGCGGGTATAAATAGAAGCATTTATTTCATTGTAAAGGGTTGACAACTTTCTATTCTTAGCACTCTAGCTATAGTATTCTTACTCGCAGCACTTCTACTGCCTTGTAAGACGAACGGCCGACGGAGCCTTAGCGAAAAGTATTGTATTAGGGAGTTATTAAAAGATAATAATACCTAATCACTTACTTGCTACCTTACTGTTTCTTGCCCCCTTATCATCTGCTTGTTGGGCTAGTTATTCACACGCACTCCACTCGAAATCTTTGGGCTTACGTGTTGGGCCTGAAGATTGAAGGAATAAACCTCAACACTTAGTTTGTGCTTAATTATTTTATTTCCCGCTTCTCTGTGGTTCGACACCCTACTTCCTTGGGTAAAAAATAGTTGTGTGCCCATTATATGCTACACACTATCGTCAAACATAATAAATACAAATATGTCGTATTAGCTAACTTTGTCATAATGAATGTATGAAATGTGTAAAAGTTAAAATGATATGAGTATATGCTTAAATATGTATTTTCATGACTAAATTACTTATTTATATCTTAAAAATGAAGAGTGAAGATAAAAACAAAGTAGATATATCCTCCGTATGTTTTTCGGTGTTCAGTTTGGTTTATGATTTTTCCATTTTAAACCAAACCAAAGTACCAAACCATTCGGTTTGAGAAAATATTTACCAAATGGTTTAGTTAAGTAAACTCAAACCAAACCAAATCAAACCACCAATTTCAATAATGTATGAAAGTTCTGTTTTGAGTTTCTTTAGTTTGGTTCGGTTTTGTTCGGTTTTTATCGGTTTCGGTTCGATTCGGTGCGGTTTAATAAGGTTTGGAAGAAACAGTACCAAACTCAAACCAAATTGCATACGGTTCGGTTTTGGTTTGGTTTAGAAGATGTTCTCTTTGTCTTAATCTTATTACTTATTCCTTAATCTTAATTTATTCATATCAGATCAGATCAGAAAAATTCAGATCAGATCAGAAAGATTCAGATCAGAAACATTCAGTCAGATCAGAAAGATTCAGATCAGATCAGAAAGATTCAGATCAGATTAGATCAGAAACATTCAGATCAGATAAAAAACATTCAGATCAGATCAGATCAATAAAATTCAAACATGATTTATCACTTTTATTATTATATTAATTATAATTATTACTATTATAATTATTATAGTTATTATTAATAATAATGTAATAATATTAATAATGATATAATAATAATATAATAATAATAATGTTAAAAAATTATTATTATTATTATTATTATTATTATTATATTATAATAATATAATATATTAATAATAATAATATATTAATAATAATGATAATAATAATATAATATTAATAATATAACAATGGTAATAATATTAATATTATGATATAATATTAATAATGTTATTATTATATTATTATATTATTATTGTTATAATAACAATAATTTAATTTATTATTGTGATATTATTATTGTTATAATATAATTATAATTATAATTTTGATTATAATTATAATCATCATTATTAGTAATATTATTTTTGTTCTTGTTGTTATTGTTGTAATTATTATTACTCCGGAGTAATTATATATTTCTATTTGTAATTATAGATAAAATCATAATTATATAAATAAATATTATAATTATAATTAAAGAGTATAATTACATTTATAATTGTATCTTAATTTATAATTAGTGTAATTGGTATACTTATTATAACTTTAAATATAATTTTAATTATTATATTTATTATAATTATGATTATAATAATAATTTTATTTAAGTTATATTCTTAATTACAATTATAATTATAATAATTATAATTACAATTACAATTATAGAAATATTCAAATCAGATCGGATCAGAAAGATTCAGATCAAATCAGATAAGATAAGAAGAATTCAGATCAGATCAAAAACATTCTGATCAGATCAGACTAGATCGGAAAGATTCATAACAGATAAAAACTTAAAAAATTTAGATAAAAAACATTCAAATCAGGTGAAGAAAACAGCTTCTTAGTTCGGTTTGATACGAATCAGTTCGGTTAAACCAAACCGTTATGTTAATGTGTACCAAAAGTAGGGGTGGGATTTTGGAACCGGGAACCGTAGAACCGATTGGAACCGAACCGTTAACAACATCTAGGAACCGAACCGTTAACAATTAATGCCTCATTTGTAGGAACCGAACCGAAACGGGTTATAACGGTTCGGTTCCCGGTTCCTATAAAAAATATGTGCATGGAACCGTTAAGGAACCGTTATTAAAAAAATAAAATAAAATAAAATAATAGTAGTAGTAGTAACAACAACAACAACAATAATAATAATATAATAGCAATAATAACCACCACCACAACAACAATAATAATAAAACAATATAAGATATTTAACTAACAATTCTAATTTAATCAATGGAAAAGAAGTAATAAATATTGTACATGAGGTTGATATAATACATTAAACTCCTTTCTACAAATCAAGTTTTGTTCCATCACATAAATTTTATAAATATAAAATAACCCAAATAACTTGTAGTTGATTGCACATATTTTACTTTACTATTTTCATGATATTTCTAATTATTAGATTTATTATGAATCAATAGAATGTAATAATGTTTTTTTATATCTATACATGCAAACTCAATGTCTTTTTTTATGTTTTGAAAGACTTGAAGTAGGCGTCCTATTCTTGCTACTATGATGACGAATAATCTTCATCGCTTCGACACTACAACGATTTTTAATGTTTGATTTATTACATGAAAATTTAAATCACTTTTGTTCTATTAAGTGTTCAAAGTTTATTAGTTAAGTTTGAGCTTTGATGTTTGAAGTGATTAGAGCTTCAAATAAAATTTTAATACTCGTGTTTTGAATTTTCGACGTGTTTAAATTATGTGTTAATTCTTAGACGAGAAAAAATTATTCTAGGAACCGGTAAAAGGAAGAACCGAACCGTTTATTACCGGTTCGGTTCCATAACGGTTCTTGATTTTTTCTATAGGAACCGAACCGATTTCGTTAGTTAAAATTTTTATAACGGTTCCACTCATTTTGAGTAAGAACCGAACCGATCCCAGCCCTAACCAAAAGTGTACCTAAAGCATTTTTGGGAGGTAGTATGGTAGTATAATTGTATTATCGTATTATGCCAATTTTATAATTTTATTTTAAATTTTAAATGTTACGAGTATATAGAAGTGGAGAGCGTGTGTATGGGGGGTGCACCTGGTAAGGGTGGAGTTCTATTCTTAGGTGTCATACAAGTACAGAAAAGATTGGCTGCCCAACTCCCTGCTCTGCCTCTCCGCGAGTCGCCGCCCGCCGCCGCCGCCGCCGCACGCCGCCGCCGCCCGCCGCCTGCGGCTGCCCACTGCCTGCCCGCCCGCCCAGACCCTCAGGACGCTGACCGGTGGCCGCCACTGCCCTATGTCAGTTTTCTTATTGTTTTGTTTAATTTTTAATTTGTATCTGTTTATTAAATTCATCTAATATTTTGAATTGGTTGCCTTACTCATATAGTAATTCGATTTTGTAAAGTGTAAATTTATTATAGATTTTTTAATATGTTAATAACGGTGTGATTTCATTTGAGATTACTAAAGTTCTTAACATATAATTTGTTACCATGAATTATGTAATTGAAAATAATATTTTAAATATTTCCTAAATTTTTGTCAATTTAAGTCGGTAGGGGCATATGGCTACGCAATCTACTGCTAAAATTGTGAAAACAACATAACATTAGTTTTCTAAGCTTTACTAAAAGTACAGAAAATTGACGAGAGTTAAATGACTTGATTGATACTCCAAATACATCTCGGTTCAAGAGGAATTTGTTTTTTATGCGGTTGAAATTGAGCTGGATCTGGTAAAACGGGATGAAATAAGAGCTTGTTTGGTGTCCTATTTTCGGCTTATCAAGCTTATTGAATAAATAATAAGAAAAAAATAAGGTTGAAGTTACTTTTCTGGCTGAATTGTGTAATAATAAGAAAAAATAAGGTTGAAGTTACTTTTCGGGCTATATGGGCTGCAATAGAGGATCATTTTAAATATTTTTCATGTAATTTTTTCTTTATTTTATTAATTTATTAATAAAATATATTTTTGTTAAACAATCTCAAACAGTAAAATGAATCAGTATTATTAACACGGAATACTGAGGAATTCTCAATATTCCAGGAGAGGATTACAGTGAAGGATCGAAATAAACAACTGCTTCTAGAGGAAAAACAGTGAGTTTCTCTCTCTAGCCAAGGCCCATCCACAACTAACCGAAGACCAGCCTACCTTTCCCTTATTACCCTCCCTTACATATATTCAGCAAACAAGCCAGCTCATTAATTATTCCCGCCCCTCTTTCCACTCACATACACCTTATTAAAATACTCTACACCCCTTCTGTTATCAATTTTAAATATAATTATGTCATATAGTAGCGGATTTATGATTTACATTTTGGGTGTTCGTTTTCTTATACAATTTAAACTTAGAAGGAAAATAAATAATTTCACAAAAATTATACATGTATACTTACTTGTTTCTCAAATTTTAAGTGTTCATGTAAACACTTTTGATCAAAAGTGGTTCTGCCACTGATGTCATAGATCAGCAAGATTAGCTAATTTAGTTACTTCAGCCAGAACTTCATAAATTTCAGTAGATTCAATCGATTCAGCTGATTTTGGTATTATCAAACTGACTCTAAGGGTATGTTTGGCAAATGGCTTATCAACAAGCTTTTAGCTTGTTTGACCCATTTAAGCTCTTTGATTAGTCAAAGAAGCTAATAATAATGTTTGGTAAATGGCTTTTAAAATTAGCTTGTTGAGTTTGAAAAGCTGAAAAAATGGATGGTTGAAGAAAAGGGGAGCAGCTTCTTCATTCGGCTGGTTCAATTTACACTCTATCAGCCATTTCGAAAGTCGAAACAACCAATTTTACCAAACAGTTATTTATAATCAGCTAACATAACCAGCCGGTCAAAACAGCTTACACAACCAGCTGTTAGGAAACAGCTGACACAACCAGCTAACGACAACAGCTAACGACCATTTACCAAACAAGGCCTAAATCATTGGCCGTTAGAGAAAAGAGATGAAAATAGAAAAATTGATTTTGTTTACTCGGTTTTTTTTATATACGGAGTAGTTCTTATTTAGAATCACCCCCCCCCCCCCCCGAATGATCATCCTGTCTACGCCTGTGTCACAATGTGCATCTCTCATAACAGCCTTATCTGCAACATTATTACTTTATTACTCGTCGCTAAAAATTGTAATTTGGCAATGTATGGTTTTACTTTGATCCAAAGGTAAAAAAATAATGCCGTGAACAATTTTCTAATTGTGTGGTAATTTTGTTATGAATATTTTTTGGCTAGTCAAGTATCAATTCGAAACATTTATCTTCTATTGCTTGATTTTTTCATCTGCACTTTATGTTTGAAACAGTGTCTTAATGAAGCTCTTGTCATCCAGCTACACACTTACACCCCTTGCTAATTTCTGTAAAGTTCCTTGAATTGTTATGGAAGAATGACTTGATTGACTGACCAGACAAGAGGTAACCTATACGAAGTATATGAAGCACAGAAATCTATATGTTAGGCTCTTAGCTGAAACAAATGATACACATGACATAAAGAACAAAATGTTACCTATAAGCTACTCTGTGTCTTAGAATACCATCAAGGATCTCAATGCATTTTGATCGTGTTCTAGGTCAGCCCCTTCAAGGGCGTTAGGTAGAGAGCTCAAATGTATTTTAGCAGCATAAGTGATTTCTACTATGAAACACCCTTGGTTATAGAGCATCTCTGCCTTTTGAAAGTCCCGGCAAGGCTTCAACTGGTCCATGTGTAAAGCATAATAAGCAAATAAGGTCAATGTAAATGCTACCGTAGTTGTCAAACATATAAAAGATTGTAAACCTGGGTGCTAGTTTTTCAAATTTCTTTTTTTTTTTGACAAACTGCAAAAGAATGTTAAACGGTAGAACTTTGAAAGTTTACTCCATTTGGTGTTTGTTTTCAGATTTTGATTCGGATGCCTAACAGAACTGTGCCCTAAAATGTATAATGGTAGCTAAAATAAGAGCCAACTATTGGTGCAAAATGCTACCAATGCTATAGCCAATGCTTGCATGGGTAAGATCCTTGTTGCAAAGGAATTCATTTTCAAATATGTTTGCAGTGTATCAAATATAACTCCGTCTATCAAATATAAATCTGCCAGTGTATCTCTTTGCAGCACTAAGATGCTTATAAAAGGCATCCCACATCATTGGATCGGAGCTCACTACACGCTATACTCTGAACTTTTGAGTCTTTGTATTGATCAGAGGGCAGCAAACCACTGTTGTTTGATTCATTCCCACATGATAACAAATGGTATTTTGCCAAACGTACATCTGCACACAAAGCTGATCATATGTTATTCAAAGTTTGGTGAAATGGGAACCGCCCAGAAGGTGTTTGATGGTATGGGCCAAAAGAATTTGGTTTCTTGGACCGCGTTATTGTCAGGGTATTCTCGAAATATGGATTCAGGAGAAGCTCTAAGAGTGTTTATATCAATGCACCGTGAGGGGTTAAAGGGGAATCAATTTACATATGGAAGTGTTTTGAGGGCATGCACCAATTTGTTGGGTTTGAATCCAGGGAAACAAGTACAAGGGCGTGTCCAGAAGAGCAGATTTGCTAAAAATTTATTTGTGCAGAGTGCATTGCTTGATTTCCACTCTAAATGTGGGGAAATAAATGATGCTCGTCTTGTGTTTGATTCAATGTTGGAGAGAGATGTGGTTTCATGGAATACAATGATTGGTGGATATTCTTTTCAGGGATTCTACGATCATGCATTTTTTATGTTCCGCTCGATGCTAAGAGAAGGTATGGCTTTTGGCAGTTTTGGGTTTCCTTCTATTATAAATTTAGTTCATTTTCGTATATGTATGCTTTTTTATATGATACAAAAGCAAAATCACCATGAACTGGCCATGATTCTTCTTGGCTGCTCATTTAGCACTCTATGAGCCCTATAAAAGCTTCACTTATTCCTTATATAGCAGTTCCAAAATAATCTTCAAGAGTTAAAGGTTATTTTTTCTTTTCTTGGGGCATTCGTTTTTATCTTACTCTTGATGCTTAGAGAAGGAATAAGTTCTTCTATGTTACTATTATAAATTGAGTCGATATTTATATATTGCATTGTTGCTATAATGCCAAAAATATTTGTCACAAGTAGATCGGTAGATTTGATTCTTCATGACTACTCAATTAATATACTCCCCGGTAAAAGCTTCACTTATTACAAAAACTTCAGTTTTTCCCCCAGTTGGGTGAATTTTTTCCACTTCAATGTTACTTTATATGCTTTAGATTTTGTCCATCATATCAAAGCTTAAATATTGCTTCACTCATGCTCTGTGAAGGCTTGACATTATTTATAAGTTGTAACCAATCATTACTTTTAACATTTGATATCTAGTTTGCCCTTTCTCCTTTCTAATAAGAGGTTTGAGTAATTAGTGGTGATAGATGGATATATGCATGTGGGTAGTAAAATAACAACTTACTTCCTTCGTTCTTTAATAGTTGCAACATTGGGTTTTTTGCGCTATTCACATACCTTACTTTAACCATGATTTTCTACTAATATATATAATCAAATTATTATGTAAAAAATGTTATTAAATTTCTATTACTATGAATTTCCAAAATATTAACTTTTTATAATAATCACTAATATGTAACTAAATTGGGATTAATTAAATTTAGCAGCTAAATAAACTTTGCAATTTATACTAATACAGATCATGGTTAAAGTAAGAACATATTGTAGTAAATTTTCAAATATCTTCTTAAAAAATGGAGGATAGTATATAGGAAAAAAGAAGATAACTTATTTAGCTGCTAAATAAGAACATATTTTATTTAGCTGCTAAATAAGAAAACAATTTATTTAGCTGGTAAGTAAGAAAAGGTTAATTTTATTTAGGGCTTAACAAAAAAAGAAAAATTGGAATGTTGTTAAGGAATTTATAGAATATATTTTAGCACTTATTTCTATCTTAACTACTTTTTCTACATAAGTATGCCAAAACAAATATGAACTCTATTGTGGAATCTAGGAGTAGTATGCAGGTTAACAAACTAGGTTTTCATATCATTTTTTTCCTTATAGAATGAATATTTTGCTTATATGTAGGTATGTATCCTGATTGCTTCACGTTTGGGAGTATTCTGAGAAATTCATTTGGAGGTTATAGAGTCGATGGACTTATGATTGTTAGCAGTATACATGGTATCATTGTTCAATTGGGGTATGAGTTGAATAACGTGCCTATTGGATCTCTAGTTGACGCCTATGTGAAGTATGGGAATTTAGCTGGTGCAAATCGTCTTTATAGAAGTATGAAGAAGACAGATATCATATCATGCACTACATTAATTATGGGATATGCTCGTCAAGGTAAAGGCATTGATGAATGCATGAATCTCTTTTTAGAGTTGCACCGATTGCCCGTGAGAATTGATAGTGTAATATTATGCTCAATGCTTAGTTTGTGCGCTAAAGCAGCATTGTTGAGTCTAGGAAGGCAGATGCATACTCTTGCATTGAAATATCAAAATAAACATGATGTAGCCTTGGGAAACTCTTTGATTGACATGTACTCAAAAGTAGGTGAGATTGAGGCTGCTAAGATAATTTTTCATCACATGGAAGAGAAGAATGTGATCTCATGGACATCAATGATATCTGGATATGGTGTGCACGGCCATACTGAGAACGCAATTTCTCTTTACAAGAAGATGGAATTACAAGGAATTCATCCAAATCACATTACGTTCTTGTCCCTTTTCTCTGCGTGTAGCCATACTGGCTTGACTTCTCAAGGCTGGGAGTTCTTCCACAATATGGTTGGTAAATATAAGATTTGCCCACTTTCGAAGCATTATGCTTGCATGGTAGACCTTTTGGCACGTGAGGGTTGTTTGGAAGAAGCCCATAATTTGATATGTAGGGAGAATATTAATCCGAGTGCCTCTCTTTGGGGATCACTTCTTGGGGCGTGTAGTATGCATGAACATATGCATCTTGGAGAGTTAGCAGCGAAGAATTTATTTAGTATGAACCCCCAAGAGCCTGCCAACTATGTTGTCTTAGCTAACATATACGCATTGACAGGTTTATGGCAAAGGGCCGCCGATACACGGGAATTGATTGTTAATAAGAGGTTACTGAAGAATCCTGGTCATAGTTTTGTCTCAAACAGCAAGAATATGTCACTTCTTCCCGCTGGTTGGTATAAAGGTCTGAGGATTTCAATGTATTCAATTTCAGATATGTTGTTTTTATGCATTTATTCATCGTGCTTAATGATTGAGCATTTGAACTGCCGTTAGCAGTTAGCTCTTATATACATATGCAATTTTGAACTTTCGTGAAGAAAAAGAAAGGATAAAAGGCCAGAGCTAAGGAGCACATTGACTTGTTGAATGTTGCTGTTAGTCAACCTAAAGTTCCATCTCGTAAATTATCTATTTGTGTGTACAAATGTTATTATTTTTTATCTAATCGAGTTACATTTTTCAATGAAATTATAAAATCCATTAAAGCTCAGAAGCTTTGATCATATACATCTCTTAGTCCTTTTAATCATGTGCTAATCTTATGGTGTTAATTGTGCAGGCGTGTAGCCAAAGTAATATTATGGTCTGGTGACTGGTGTGGATCCAAATCAATATTGTCTGAGTTCTTCAAAACCAGGTAATGTACAAAGGGTTTTAAGTGGAAGTTCTCACACGATCTGAATATCCAAAAAAAATGAGAGAAGATTGTAATTTACAGATAAATGTGAGCATGGTGATTTTCTTATTATTTTAAATGTAGTATTTATTTAGTTATTTCTGCTGGATGTAACTTTGTTTATCTCCATATTTCATTCCATATTTCATTTTGATTTGTTTTTGTTCTTTATTTGCTGCCTTCTTTTACAGTAAAAAAGAAATAGTGGAGGATCTGGAGTTTGTGGCCAAGAGACTTTGGAGGAGTTTGTGGCATACAAGGTGAGGATTATAACAAGAACCAATCAAGTTTCAGGGTCCACTGTTACCTTGTGTTTGCTTTTGTGGTGTCCACATCTATTATAGACTAGTTGGGAAAAGGGGTTATATTTTACATTTGGGGGGGCTCTTCTCATGCTTTGTACTCCGTATGTGATTGTTAACCTCAAATGAAACAAAAATAAATCAAATAAAAATATTAAATTGTACCTATTCAGGTAGCTCTTTTTTATTGCAACGTAGACCTCACCTGTTGCTCCTGGTTAAAAGATCTTTCTGATATGACTTGAATAAAATGAGTGGGATTTCTGAGGAAGAATGTAGAGGTGTCATCATTCGTAGTACTCATGTACAGGTTTATAAATACTTTTTGGATGCTGAGGAGAAGAAACAGTATAAATCAAATAAAAAGATTAAATTGTACCGAACATGGTCTTACAGTTTGCAGTTTCAGGTAGCTCTTTTTTATTCCAACACAGACCTCAACTGTTGCTACTAGTTAAAAGATCTTTCCAATATGACTTGAATGAAATGTGCGGGATTCCTCAGGAAGAATGTAGAGGTATTATCATTTGTAGTACTCATGTGCAGGTTTGTATATACTTTTTGCCGTTTTTGGATGCTGAGGAGAAGAAACGATATGGATGGTTTTGGGTTTGTCGAATTTGTGGTAAACACTGTCACTATAGATACACTCTTCCTCCAGGGTATGATCCGAAATCGCAGATGATAGGCAGCTGTTCACTGACATTGGACTGTTTCCAATGTCACATAAATACATATATTTATTTATATGTATGTGTATAATGTATAATTGTATACATAGCCACTGCTATTGGTTCAACCGTTCAATTAATCAATTATATACATAGTCTGCATGATAGGCTGATAGTCTTTTCATTCAATGCATCGCTGAGGCTATGCTATTGCCAGCTATGAACATTCGGTTACCGTTGTGCATAGGTCTGTTTGCCTTTGACAGCCGAATATATTTTGCATATTATCTTCAAGAACAGCTGAATAATCTATACGTTCATCTGGCCAGTTTAGGCTAAAGCCCCAGTTTCTACATCTTCATGAGGTATATACATAAAAGAAAATAATGATAAATTGATAGTCTTCACTAGATCAACTTTTTAATACAAAGTTTAATCATATTTATTGTATACTCATACTTATCCACTCTTGCAGAATGATAATGAACTGGAAGCCCCCAATAACCATTAATAGGACAGATTGCTAACACAAGTGCATTCAGGAAATGCAAACTAACCCGGAAGGCCTTATTAAACATTAAAAGGACATTTTGCTAACATAAGTGCATTCAGAAAATGAGAAAATGCAACCTAAAGACAATCTTTTATTATTACTGGAGGATATTAATATCATAAACATGTGCAATAGTCACTCTCTCAAATGACAACAGACATTCACGTGTTACAACAGAGGGGGTTGTTTAATAAAAGCATTTCATTTCAGTGGAAAAATAATGGTATAGATTAGAAGAAATGTAACTATCAGAATTGTCACTGCAAGAGTGAACTGACTACTAGTCCATAAATTAAGATTTAACTTCTCAGTTCTCTTAATGGGATCGATTTCTTCAGACAGTGGATAGTTAGAGCGCCTTGGATTCCATGTCACATACTTGTTGAACTGTGAGATGTTCTTTTTGCCTTTCTTCTTGAAGCTAGACCAGGCCTTGTCCCAATCTTTTCTCAACGTATCATTATCATCTACACAAACAAAATAGATCGAATTAATAAAACTCTAACCTTTATCTGTACTTTAAGGCATCTTCCAGAATCTAGAAAATAACAGGGAAAGAAATAGAGAGCAAAAGTAAAGATGGGTTTAGACTCAATACAATTATATTACATATTTCCTTCAAATCGTTTTGTTTATTGACTTTATTCAGTTCGAATCAGTGTTTCGTTTGCCTCAATAGTTTCTTCCCTTCAAACTTTCTCTCTCTGCTCCAAACGGACCAAGTGTTTAGGTGGTTGTTCATTACTTGTTTGCAACCATCATTTTTCCGTTTCCGGGAAAGGTAAATATCATAGACACAGCCCTGGAGATATCTACACAGATATAAACTCTAGTAGGCCGAGATTTCCAAAATTACACTCAACAATACCTACCTGCATACCCAAAACAGCTCAAGAAATGGATGCATCATCATCTGGGAAAAAGAAAATCAAATGAACGATTACCACGCTCAATGTTAAGGCAGAATTATTAGCAACAAGAGCTTTTATTCTTTTTCTTCTTTACACAACAGTTCTAGACTTTATACTTTCTTCCCCTTCCAAAGCCCTCCAATCAAACAAGGGCTAATAATCAAGACATAATACATGGCAATGAGTTCCTGGTGATTTAATTGCCTATAACTTGTAACTATATACAGGCAAACTCAGAAATCAAATTGGTAAATGGTAATCAGGATCAAGAGCCTCTTTTCTTTCTCAGATCATTCAAAAGGGAACAACGCACTCCTATTGCACCCCCCACTATAGCTTTAGAAAAACTACTCACATAAAACAACAAAACAATTCCTAGTCATAATAGATTAGGTCAATCTTCATTTGTTCACTTTTAGAAACATTGTACTCCTACTCCATATTTATGGCTAAGCCCTCCAACACCCCTTAGGACCTTCTATTCAAACATAACCTAAAGGTCTATGGTTTTGTAATGATCCCACGCCGGTCAAGTATGGGTTTGATCGGTGGCTTATAAGCTAGGTGTCTCTCCTCCTAATTGGCTAGTCCTTTGAGGAGTGAGGTCTACACCTACCTTGGTATGGGCCTAGTAAGAGTTAGGTTTGTATCAGCTTTCCAACAGAGCAGCTTAGAATTCACTAAATTTTGCCTTCTAAACAGCACAGTTCCATGCGCCAATGTAAACATCCAGCAAGTTATTTTTGTTTTCATCAGGGGAAAAAACAACCAGAAATATCTTAACATAAACTGCCACTTCATAGCTACAAGAAGAAAATGCCCGTATCCAGAAAAAGAAGAAGAGGAAAGATCAACTTACCCTCATTGCCATTGTCATCATTCTGCTGGGAAGGTGGTCGTGATCCTCTTCTTGAGCAGATGGGCTTAAGCCCCTTTTGGATTGTGCCGGTTCTAGGGCTGGACCAAATGACACCGAGCTGTAGCCAGGTATTCATTTAGGTTGCGATCTTCTTCACTTCAGTCACCGATTTTGGTGTCCTTCACCAATGCCTTCTTTACATGGGGACCTTGTTAGCAGTGACTCAGTGTGTGGTCTGTATAGTTGGAGGACGACACTATCCTGGTCAAGTTACTCAAGTATTTTAATGTTTTGTCAAGTATGGTCCAATTGGTCCTGTACACAAAGATTGTATACCAATTATTCATTGTTGTACAGGCAATTTGGCAGGCAATTTCGCCTTTTTTGAGTGTATTCAATTTGTTTACTATGGAGAGGTCACACTTAACACCGTTAAAAATCTTCCAAGGAAATAATGAAGACTAACTCTGATTTTACCCAAAAAATAAAAAGAAAGATATTAGAAACTACGTCTCGTCAAGACGACTTCTAGACTTTCCTTTTTATTTTCAGTCACCATTGTTGGAAAGTCCACCCCAAAAAATGATATTTGTGAATTATTTAAAAAAAGCATTCCAAAAAGAACAAAACAAATGGTTTTGGAGACTTGGTATTTTTCTTTTAAATTTTCGGGCATTTATGAAAATTGGAGTACTATTCATTGTCTTTTCGACGATTTCTAATGATGTTAGGTGTCGGACCCTCAAATGATAATGGAATTAAACACGAGTGACTACTTTGATCAGAAACAAAACATGTACTTCTATATGAAAACGCGTCGAACCCTTTTGAATACTTATCCCTTTCTTTATATATATGATCGAAGTAAAGGTATTGGACAAATATACGAATCTTTTATACTTTAATGACTATCATAATAACTTTAGTAACAATTGTTGTGTTCAACTCTATGATATAGTGACCATACATAATAGGAATAGTGGACAAGAATAATCCCAACTATGACTTATCTGTTTTAAATAATCCAAAGTATCAATTATCTCAAAATAATCCCAACTTTTGAAAAATCTTCTCAAATCACTCCACATACTTATAAAAATTTTAAGTTATTTGGGGATTATTATAAGTCAACAGAGTATTTTGAGAAGATTTTTTAGTAGTTGGGATTATTTTAAGACAATTGATGCTTTAGATTATTTCAAACAGATCACTCATAGTTAGGATTATTGTTGTCCATTTTCCCTACATAATATCTATATTAATATTGTTCTCCATGAGTTATACTTTGAATAATATTTAAGGAAAATTCTTTTATAAATTTAGACTCTTATTAGACTACTATTTAGTATTTAAGTATTCTTATAATGTTTTAATTTTGTAAGTGGAATTCTCTCTCAAATAATCTAATTGTTATTTGCTAATTTGACATCTTATTTCTCACTATGTAACAAATAACTAATCTTTTTAGAAAAGGAAAAATTGATAGTAATAATCCCAACTATTGGCGGTCCGCTCATAATAATCTCAACTATTGATTATTACATAATAATCCCAACTTTATGGACCTTCCGCCAATAATGGTCCCTATGAATAAATTCTTGTAGTTTCTAAAGTGAATGAGATGAGGTATAACAAGTAATCCCTATAAATAATCACAACTTTTAATTTTTGCGCTTAATTTCTATTTAAAATTCACTTTTTATAGAGGTAATATATGGTCATGGATCATTATTGGCGGATAGTCTATATAGTTGGGATTATACAAAAATAATCAATAGTTGGGATTATTTTCAGCGGACCAGCAATAGTTGAGATTATTGTTTTCAATTTTTCCTTTAGAAAACTATTCTTCTTTGGATTCCTGTCTTCCATAGTTCCATATAATAAGTTTACTAGTTATACGACGCGCGTTGCGCGATGAGAAAATGCTCAATGCAATTTTTTCTAGCTATAATATTTATTTATACATTATTGAGAATTCACATTATTTATGAGCACCGCAATTAACAATAGTCTTGATGCCCAACAATATATATGTCAGTAACAATAGCAGCCATTGCAAAAAAAAACATGAATTTCCCATAGTGGGAGCATTTTTTCAATACAATGCATGAATTTTTAGATTTATTGTGCTTATTTAAGAGGCCTTCTGTAGCGATTCCATATTATTGGCATCACGTTTGACATATGCCTGCTAGCTCTAATCGAGATATTTGGGGGTGACAATATTCCATTTTTGGGGGGAAACCGAGGGATTGATAATACTTCCTCTCATTTACATAACCTTTACAGTTCAACCAAAATGTGATCCACTCCTCTCCGTTTACAGCTCTTCAAAAATTCATCATCAAAGCGGCACAAGTTAGAACTCTGAGCAGAATGGACATAAGCACATCAAAATAAAGGCTCGAGATGCCTCACACTTTCAGGCAGTTTCATTGATCGTGTCCCCCCATGGCTTGCAACCTATGCAACCAGTTGACATACTGACCTTGTTCCTTCTTGTGGAGGTGGAGTACAAGAAATGTCAACAGATTTTCATCAATTCCCTTAGCTTGCAGGTACGGGAAGAACTGGCTTTGCAGTTGAGGGTCCAAAGAACTGAAAGAAGGGCCTTTATAAGTAGAACTGTCCAGGGATGCTGCTTCTTTGATGTAATGTGCATTATAAATTTGAAAGTTTGATTCCCCGTTGTCACTGAATGCTCGAAAATCGAACTGTAGGATGGAACTCAACCCCGGCCTTTTCATGCATACTTTAAGCAAGGTCTATCTTGGAGACATAACATCTTTATACTCAACATGAGGGGTTTCAGCACCTAGGATAGCTGAAGCAGATACCTCCTCACCAGATTCAAATCTCCTTCGCAGAAGAACATCTCGGTAATTATTTCCTCACTCGAGTAGTGGGTGCAAAGGACTCAACTCCAGTTCTGTAACCAATTGTCTCTCCACGAGGTGCGGGAATACAAAGGAGGCCTCTGGTCAGTCAAATGCCCAGCCTATGTCCTGACCGCATCAGAAAAATGATCAGTTCAGACTTTTGAAAAATCGGTGACAATATTCCATTTTTCATGAAAGATAATCAAAATGTATATTGCATAAATGAATGTAATAGTCGAAGGTCCCAAAAAAATGAACATTAATACATCCCAACTTCATCGCCACAATCATGTAGTTTTCATTTTGTTTTGGAATGAAAGCACATCAATCAATCATAATGGTTCATAGTAAATACGTAGTATTAGTCAAGCAAGTGAAAGTGTAAAACTATACCAAAAGAAGTAGCAAACTCTGTATTTACTATAAAAGTAATCTCGCTAATATATATTCTTAACAAAAAAGAGGTAAAGAAAATAACAAATGTTTTAAGCCAAAAACTGAAATGCAGCTCTCTCCTTGCAGACCCAATAAAGTGCTTGGACTTCAGGTTATACATAGATTATGGTTAGATTGGTATTTGTCATTAAACATTATATTCATCAATGACTTACCAGGTAAACGCCTTTTAAGAAATCTAACAGTGAGAACGTTATGTTGCCTTGCCAATAATATATCATATAGGACCGAAAATAATTAAGTGTACAGGGCGAAAGTGCTGCCTGAATCAACCCAAGCTCAAAAAGTCCTTTTCTATTGAGTATACCATAGAGTGCTTTCTTGTAGACTCAATAAAGTGCTTCCTAAAGCATATATCAACCCCAGCTCTCTCCTTGCAGACCCAATAAAGTGCTTCCTAAAGCATAATAATTTGAGGAGCAAAAGTTGTTTGAATTCAGAATCAAATCATGTGCAAAACATTTGTATTCAATTATAAGTCTTCTTAGAAAATCTAAAGACTACAAACTAAAACTTTGTTTTTCAGTTAACATCGTTTGTGGAACAATTATCCACAGTTATAGTGGATAATTTGTTGTCGATGTTCCAATCTAGCAAACAACCATATAATGCTTCAGAAAGACTTTCACCTGTATGTGGACTTGGCACATACATAAACCTGAAAGTCAATTCAAAAAATATAATTAAATGAGTGTAGTCATTTAAAAGGTATCATATGAGTGTAGTCATATGGTATCATGATGAATTTGAGATAATTAAAAGGAGTGTTAACTAAAAAAGGTATTATATTTTGACAGAACGAACAATTTAAAACCAAAGTTTAGAAAAAATAAACTGATATAGTATGATTTGATAATGAACTTGAGACAACTATAAACAGAGTTACTTGAAAAGGTTATTCTATTTTGAGAATATGAACCGTTCATATACTTCAGTACCAGAATTTACACCATTCAGATTCTTTAAGACTGTTAAGTGAAAGTGTTAGCACACTGGTTTAAAGTTCCAGAGAAAAGAGGGGAAAATTTTAGATTATTGAAAAAAAGTGTTTAAAAAGTTTAAAGTCCATATTCTTAAAGAGTGTTGAAAAAGAGTGTTTATAAAGTTTAAAGTTCACATTTTGAGAGAGTATGGTTTCTAAATGAATTTCAGATTCATAAAGAAGTGCATGTTAACTATTTAGTGTTACTGTGTTACATCATTTAGAACTTAGAGAATATTATTTCTTAATGAAAACTTTTAGATTATTAAAAAGAGTGACAACACAAAGATGTTATCATATCATGAATAAAAAAATATTACCTGATGACTCGACTTTGCAACCTCCAAGAATTGTCAATGTAGTGAGCAGTGACAACCATAAAACCTTTTTGCTGAAAATCAGAAGTCCACATATCTGTTGTCAGTTTGTCACAGCTACTCTCCCATCATTCTTCTCAAGTGTTTCCATCATGGCCTTCTTTTCTATCTCAAATATCTTCAAGCAATCCTTCTTAATACTATTCCTACTCACCATTTTGAAGCATGGATTTAAACTGTTCACAAAGTTACTGAACCCAATATGCTCAACCATCTTTAGAGGGTAGCCATGCAGAATGATCATCCTCGCAAGCTCCATACGGGAAAGTTCTTGATCAAAGTTGAATGGTGAAAGTTCAAACTTGTTCTTGGAGCTTGCTTGCAAAAGCTGTTGTCTTATATCTTTTGTCTTCCTTTTGTTGCATCTTTGGTAATGTTTACGCAAATGACTCGTTCCTTGCTTTGGATCGCCCAACAAAAGTGTCCGGCAATATTTGCACCTTGCTATGAGCTTTTCACCAACTGTCTCTCTCTCATAATGCACCCAAATCTTTGACTTTAGAACTTTCAGTTTTTCACCATCAGTTTCAGCTTCTATCTCTTCACCATCAACGACATTAATATGTTCACCATCAGCCTCTAATGGTATGTCATCAACATGTAAGTCACCTCCATCAACCAGCAGATTAGGTGATAAATTTGGTGACTCAACAGTTATTGGGGTGGTAGGTAATGAGCTTCCTTCTACCTCCATTGATCAGATCTACAGAAATAATTAAATTTTAAATCAAGTTAAAGTTCTAAAAAAGAATTGCTACAATGATGGGACAAGTTGTTCTACTATTCTCCCATTTGCATCTAAAATAGTGAAATTGATGAATTATGTGGTCTCATCAATATTTTCAGAAATAATATACTACATCAGTCTTATTCATTTGCTTAACAAGTTAACTTCATATTTATAAGAAAAGATAAATAATGAAGGTGATATCTCAAATACAGATGGTCAACAAACAATAATCCCTCATGGCAAATTTCTTAGCTTTTTATTCCTGAAATTTGCACAGAAGAGCTCTTCTAAGAACACAATCTCTAGTACCACACACATGAAATGAAGTGTTTTAAATAAAAAGGGAGTTGATATCTTAAATTGAGATTAAGATTATTTTGATTTTTAATTGAGAGTTATACTCCTCAAATTGAGAATTTCAATCACACATCTACAAATAAGACTGGACCGGCATACTCACATGCACCCCTAATTTCAATTACTGAGGTTTTAAAAAGAATCAAACATTGAAAAAAACCCTAATTGAGAATTGAGATTATTAAACAAGAACTTAAAGAAATCATCTCTTTGTTAAATTTACTTACTGTGATTGTAGATATTAGAAAACTTTGTTGCTGACTTGGAGTGTTGCGGTACTGCAGCCCCTAAGTCCCTCGCTGAAGTACTGCTCTGTATCTCTCTCTTTGTGTTTTTTGTGCGAAAACTCAATTGCAGAAAGCAGAAAATCCATCTCTTTGGGGGGGCTTTATATATATGTATATCTTTAATTAGATTCATCCGTTAATTGATATGTGCAAGACCTTTGGTGTCTCCTATGGCCGGACTCTTTAATGCGAGGAAAAGAAGCAGTCGGACTTTTGGTTTCTACTATGTCGGGCTATTTAGTTGAGGAACAGAAGCCGAAAAGACAAATAGTGCAAGAACTATACGTAGTCTATTTAGTGGATATGCGGGTCGGGGCGGGGCGGGGCAACGCGGGCCATGATTAATACCTAGACCCGGCCTGAACTAAGTGCGGGGCGGGGCGGACCCGACCCGTTCGATTCGCGGGGCGGGGCGGACCCGCTTTAAACGGGTCGGGGCGGGGCGGGGCAGCTCGGGTCGGGTTTTTTTTTTGCCATTCCTAGTTTTTCTTATTTAAGAGTACATATGGAATGTTCAATAAATCGTTAAGGCTCATTGTAAACTGTTAAATCAAGTTAAGGGCATGTGAAGACTCAAGAAAAGGTTGAGAAATGTTGTGAATTTGACAAAAATATCATTTAAGTGATGATGTCAGTCTTTTTCTTCCCATACACTAACTCATGTACAAATATACCAAAAGAAGAAAAATGTGTTTCCCATCAAACCAAAAGCCTTTCTATTTTATGATATGAAAAGAGACAGACTATTGGTCTTGAGCTCACCAGAAAGATCTTAAATAAAGTTAAGATAGTAACACATTCTTAATTGTAAGGTGCAATGAAAGTACATGTATCACATAAATAGCTTCATTACTTTTCCGATAACCAAAACTCTAAAACAAACAACGAAGCAAGCCAATGTTGATAAAGTATGTATTTTTACCTCAGTAAAACTCAATAAAGCTCTCAAAAGACGATTACTTCATAAGCGCATAAGAAGCCGTCCATTTATCATAATAAACCCTTCTTTTCAGTTTTTTGTACAATGTTGATATTAAATTCATGTGTTCATTCTTGGGAATGATTCCTACCACATATGCCCACACAAATGTGTATTAGGTTCATTTTTCTAGCAAGTGAATCAACATGTACTGGGTCATAAAAAAGTACCAACACGTAAGATTTGTACTTTGGAATATTAAAAAGAAATTTCATTCAATCATCAGAAAAGAAAATTACCGCCTGCAAATAATTATTGGTTTTTGCAGTTTGAAAAGAAAAAACTAACCTTGCAGGGGAATACCATCGTATTTTGTGTGGCCGATCTGGACTTCTCTGATTCAATCGATCTAAAAGGCGGCTAGCAGCAGTGGGAGCGGGAGTGGGGGATGCCCCGCCAGCAGCAGTCAAACGGGGAAGTGAATGCGAGATGGCAGCGGAACGATCGGCCAGCAAGAGGCTAGGGCTGTTTCCTTCCCAACACGAACCAGGGCAATCTAAGTGAGGCGATGCCTATGAAGTAGCGAACATGGGCCTAAGAAACGCATGAGAGAATTGTGTATGAATTGGTAGAGCAGGGGCTTGGAATTGAAACAAAGATGGTGTACGACCTTCATCAAGCTAAGGAAACCACAGAAATCCGATGGTGTAAGAAGTTCGTGAAGTTTAGTTAATGGCATATGCGGGTAAAGAGCTTGAACATATAGGCACAGTACGATGCCTTCACCCTGATGTACAACTTTGAATAGCATAGCATTACCACCAACAAAATTTTCATGACCAAAAGGGTGCTAACCTTCATTGGCTTTTATAAGTTTTTAGATAACTATCGCGAAAGAATTCAAGTGGATAGAAAATGTATAAAACCATATGTGATTTTCTTTGCATCGCTTATTTATAGATAAAAGGTCTAATAAAAAGCCTAAGGTACAAATTGACAATAACTAACTAAAAATAACACATCAACCCAAATTTTATTCAAATTTATTAAGTGGGATTAAATTTAAGAAACCAAAATTGGTATAGGTTTACACTTTGAAACTTCAATTTGTTGAAATATAATGAATTAGTCATCTCCTAACTATTCATGATTAATAGGTCATTATTATCATTATCAAGATAATCCTGAAATCACAATTATGATTTCTAGATAATGATTATGTGGCTAATATTAATCCCTCATCTTGAGCTAATCACTTGTTTAGCCTATAAATAGATGCTCCTTGCTTCATTGTAAATACACTCTCATTTACACCATTGATTACAACACAATCACTCCTCTATTACATCATTAATAATATCTTTATCACTAAGTGTTCATACTATACTTTTTCTCCCGGATCTTCCGCTTATTTCCTTCCATTTTATACCAAAAATTAAATTCTTCGGTTTTTATTAACCATGAACATGTTTTTTGTGTTTGGTATACACTTTTTATATGTTATCTTTAGCATACTTGTCTGTCTATGCAGATAGAATTGTCTGTATACAAACAATTCTATTTGCGTAGATAAGCAAGTGTGCCAAGGACGTACACAAAAAACGTACGGAGTATATCCCAACCAATTTTCAAACCAGAATTTGCATGAAAGTTTCAGTCAAAATTTACAATTCTTTAAAAGATGCAGACTTTTCATTTGTTTTTTCAGTCAAAATTTTAACACATTGGGCTTTTCATTTAGTTTATGTCCCCTTGTTTTCGTTTAGAATAAGGCTTATTGGCCATTTTGTGACCCATTACTGCTAAATCATTACAATCAAACCCTAGCTGAAGCTCGCCATAAAACCCTACCTCTTCTCCGCATTCCACCCCAACGTTGTGACCCTCCCAAGCTTACTCCTTTATGTCGCCTGGGTCGTCTCATTATCCGAGGAAAACCTGCAATTTGAGAAACTGGATGAGCCTGCTAATCACATTATTTGGTGGATTTCTCTTCAAAGAAATCATTTTTATTATCCTTCGAGGTGTGGATGATAATAAAAATGATTTCTTTTGAAGAGAACCCCTGTGATTACTAAGCTCAATAGATATGTTAAGGCTGCCAGGAGAAATGATTCTTACCCGAGTTCTATAGAGACAATGACAATGCTGGTTAGCCATCTAAGAAGAGGCATCAAATTGCTGAGGTATATTCTGTCACAAATCTACTGTGGAGCAATTTTATTTCATTACATTTTGTTCTGCACCGCACCACTTATCCTAGGATATCTCTTTGTAGTATCTTTATCCTATAATTGATGCATATGTTATGCGAATCCTGAAGTTATATATCTCCACTAAATAGTGAAATATATCTCTATAATATCATTTTATGGCCTTTCTGGAAAGCTATTTTGATTATATTGGGCGAGCAGACATGCAAGCATCTGATTGTACATAGTCATCTGAATGCCAATGTCTCTCTGTTGTCTCTCCCAAACAGAGAATCAATCAGGATTTAATGCTTGCGTTCCTTGTTATGTGGATATGCAAGTTTGGCTTTTCTGCTACATGTTCACTCAGAATCTCAGTGTGGTATTTTTATATGTACTTTTCAGGTGGTTGTATCTTTTTCCATTTAGTACTATATGTTTTACCTTTAAAACTCGTTTTCACTCTGCTCAATAGCACTGAGTAACATTTATTGGCGTCTTTTGTGTTTTATGTTCAACCATAGTTTATATGAAGTTTGCATTTTGTAGACAACATTAAAAAACTAACATATTTCATATGAAAAGTTCCAAGATTGATTGTTGATCTGTTCACGCTAGCCTTTGAATAAGGCTAGATTATTAGTTTCAGTATTTCCTTTGAGTCTATAAAGAGGTTTGAGATATTGTAAATCTTTAAACAATATATATGCAATTTCTTCATCTGCTTATCTTGGGATATATAGAGTACTGCATATGTAACACAGACTATAGTTGTCCTGAGTATGGGTGAGAAAGACATCAAGCTTATGACCTGACATTGTTGTGAGAATGTTCATTTCTCGTTATCTCACCCAATTATTGAATCAATCGGGATATAATGCCTGCTCTCCTTTGTTATGTGGCTATGCAAGATTGGCTTTTCAGTTAAATGTACTAAAAAGTTGACACCGACTTTCACTGTTAAAAAATCTCTAGCTTATGTTGCCTTTTTATATATATATTGGGTGAGCAGAAATGTGAGCATCTGATTAAACACTTTTGCTGGAGTGCTCATTTCTCTTTGTTGTCTCGCCCAGACATTGAATCAATCAGGATTTAATGCTTGCTCTCTGTTTTATGGATTGACAAGTTTGGCTTTTGTGATACATTTTTATATAGGCAACTCAAATTTAACTTTGACTTTTAAAAAACATATTTCTTGATATCTGAATTAAGAGAAATTCTTGACAGGTTGTGTATTATATTGATGACTTTTCCTGTGATGTTTCAGGAGATCGGAATGAGAAAGTATTGATCGTTTGAACTCTAGTGGAAGACTTGGGGTCCTCGGGAGATGAGGTTGTCTCTGGAGATATTCCGGCTATCCTTCAGTGTATTGAAACAATTGAACCATGAAATTTGCTCCGTCGGGCCTGGGGGCGCAAGGGCCTTTGGGGTTAGGGATTCGACCTTTGGAACAAGTAATTGAACCATGAAGTTAATGCTGGCCATGGAAATAAATAAAAGCTAATATATGGACACATGAAGAACCCTAGCCATTTTTTCAAGATGCTTATGGCCTCTTTATGTTGTAGTCAACCTTTGTTTTCCTTGGATCACCTCAAGGAGAGCATGCTGAACTTCAATCTTTATCTCAAGTGTTGCTCTTTTCATTAAAAAGTTATGTAATATACCATCTAGAATGACTAGGGAAGCATTAGTTAGGCCACAACAAGGCAAAAACCTCACCTAACCGAAAATGACCTAATCTGTCTTTCCTTGTGTTTGGATTATTATCACATGCTAAATTCTCTCATAGTTTGGTAAACTGGTAATGTATTCCAGAATCATTATGACATGCTAGATTTTTCACTCATAGTTTGGTAATGTATTCCAATTTCCAAAATCATTATGACATGTGATTATCAAGACATGCTAAATACTACGTATATGTGGAGTAATACACATATATGTGTGTGGAGTAATCTTTTGGTCAGGACTTCATGATTGGAATCGTTGTTTGGACACCTCCATATGAGGTGTTTTTGTCTTTTTGATTAGAATTTTGAGTGAAATTTTGTGAGCATGATTTTACAAAAACTCTGAAGTCAAATGATTTTATAATAAATTAGGCATACATTAATCGTTTTGAAAATGAGTTGTAAAATCACCTTATTTTACAAATATAATCCAAAATATGGAGTGCAAAGTTAAAGCAGGGTAGTGCTTAGTGTGAGCTTGTGAGGCAGGAGAGACACGGGCCTCAAGGCCCAAAAATGTTGAAATTTTAGGGCCCCCAAAATTGAGATTTATATAGTATATATATGCATTTAATTTATAAATATGGTTAGTAATTCTAAGAAAGTTGGCTCTCCCTCCCTGGGGCTTCGTTTTCGTCCTTGAAGAAGTGCGGCTGTGGTTGGGGTCTGTTCTTTGCTTTCGTTCTTGATGAAGTGCAGACGTGGTAGGGGTCCTTGGTCAGACTAGGAGGTTCAGTTCGCGGCTGAGGTTCGTGGTTTTCCCACTGGTGGTCTCGGTCGTGATTGATCGTAGGCGGAGCGTAGTTTGTTGTATTTTTGGTGGCTTGAATTTTTTAGGGCGAAGAAACACAATGCAACATGATAGAGATTTCTTCTACATCTCGGACATGAATTTTAATGGCAAGCCTCAAGGACCAAATTGGCAAGAGCAATTTGGCGAGTGCAAGAAAGATAAGGGTTCAGACGATTTTTCTCAACAGATTGTTAGAAGAAATACTGTCTTGACGAAATTCATAAGAATAACCTTCACTTTTAGTGATTATATATTAATAATTATTATTAAGAGTGTTTATAACAATAATCTAAACTAACAATGGTGATGGACAGTCTACCCGGGGGTGTCTTATCCGGGGGTTATTACGGGAATAACTAGAGAGAAGTCAGAGTAAATAGGAGGAGAGAGAGTCGATTTATTAAATGAACTCAGCGTGTAAGAGATAGATGATCGGATCCTTTACAAGGAGAAATGAGCTGCTATTTATAGCAGCAATAAATGCGATGAGAGTACACGTGTCAGTAATCCAACGGCCGAGGGGTCACATCAGTCGGGTGGCACCGGCAGTGGTACGTTCACCGCATTGAATGCGGTTGGCGGATGTGACGTTGCATTAAATGCGGTGGTTGGCTGTCTCCAAAAGGAATCTTCGATGATTGAGCGTGTTTGACCGAAGGCTCCTCGTGTAGCCGAGGGCTTCATGTGACCAAGGACCCCTGTTTAGTCGAAGGCCCTGTGTGACCGAAGGCTTTGGTTCAGCCGAAGGCTTCTCTGATGCCGAGGGCTTGGCAATGCCGAAGGCTCATGTTTTTCGGCGTTTTCTCCCAGTAGCTTCTTATGCCAGAGAAGGCTATCCTGTGAGTTTTGGAGCCTTCGGCCAAGGAGGCCGAAGGCACCCCAGTGTGTATTCCGGGCTACTTTGAGGCTTGGGCCGTTGTATTTGGGCCTGAGTTGTTTCCTGGGCTCAATGGACTTGTGTAGGAGAAGTAGGAGTCTATGGGCCGGGGGTTCCTGGGCCATATACTCCATCAAATGGTGTCTACAAGAATAAAGTAAGGTGAATTCAAACTAATACCCACTCAATACTCACAATCCCCAAATACCGTGGATTGATATTTCCGGTTCTTCTACTGTGATTTTATCCTGAAAAGTGGATGACTAAAAATTTTAATGAGTGTGTTTTGTACTCCGTAATTAGTGGATGATTGCTAGTTGTTAGGCGGTTGAATCAGTAGATTGATACTATTGATTTTTGTTAACTGTTTTAACCATTCGATTTCATTAGCGATTTGAAGTAAAATGTATAGTAACTTAGATATTTAACTTAACTTAATTTCTTTTGTTTTTCATAAGTTTTGGGAAAAGCTTTAAAAATTATATTTACTTTTATTTTATATAGCTACTATCACTATCATTTTTAACACTTGTACGTTTACATGAGCACACCCACAAATTCTTTTATTTTTAGAATTAAATTATTAATATTTTAAATATGACTACTTTGTTAGTTATTTTAAAAATGCTACTCCATATAAAATAGAAAAATATTCATACTAATAAAATAATAAAATTATTCATAGTAATTTATGGAGTAGAAAATTTTAAATACTAATAAAATTGTTATTTTTCACAATACTTGAAGAACTAAATGTCAGAAATTCTAAAGTCAATAAGTAAAATTTTCTCCAGAAGTTTATTTTTTACCACAAAAATTGGTCACAAAAATTGACCAATTTGTCGCCGCAATTTTTTTTTTTTTTACCAATTTATCTCCGGAAGTTTATTTTTACCAATTTGGTAATTACTCCGTAATTTTTTTTAACACGTTGGTTATTTGATCATAATTAATCAGGTAAGTAGAGTACACAAGTAAGAGCATATTTAGTGGCAATATGGATTGATTAAAAATGTATTGCCACATATATATATAATAAAATAGGCATTGAGATAAAAAAAAAGGCCTCTCCAACGGAACCGTCCATTTTAATGATAGTGCTGAGGTGGAAATGAAAATAATCCACACCGTCTAGCACGGTAGCACCCTTTCTCATTCTAGCAGGTCTAATTCACATCCTGACTCACCAAATAATTTTTCACAGAAGTTTTTTTGGGTACTCGGATAACTATCCGCACAATCCATTCAAATCGTAAGGCTGAAATGTAAAGCAACAAATGTCTTTTTCTCATCTTCGGACCAAATTTTTTGCATCTTCAAAAATGTGGACCAAATTTGCATATTAAAAAAGGCCTTACGGATGTTTTTTTATTTTATTTCAACTGCATTGGAGCATAATGCATTATTAAAATTTTATATTAAATGTATGTGTGTCCACATCACCTCCATAGCCCGTCTATATAAGTGACATGTCCATATTTTTTTATATAAGTGACGTGTCCATATTTTATGAGGTGCAATCCACTTTTCCATAAGAGCATCTCCAATGCTACATTGTATACGGTGCACATGTGGCGTGAGAGATAGCCATATAAGTATTATCAAATAAATTATCTCTCTCCTTATTTGAATGATTTTATAAATTTTTGGTAAGTTTTTCACCACAATGTTAAGGAGACTGTCTAAATGTTGACATTGTGGTTGACATTGCAGAGAAAAACTTATCAAAATTGTATAAAATCATACAAATGAGGAGAGAGATAATTTATTTGATACCTAAAATACGTATCTCCAAACTACATTTAAATATCATGGATGTCTATATTGTACAACTAAACCTTCATAACTCTAAACTACATTTAAATACCTAAAATACGTATATACTACCGTTTCTCAATTTGTACCCTCTCTCTGCGCGCTGTTTCTCAATACCTGTCTTTCACTCCAAACCAATTTCCTTACTCATTTGATTCATTTCCTTACCTTCCAGGCTCTTATCCAATTGATTGTATTTTACAATATATAATCCTGTTTTATAATTCCATTTAATTTTTTCATCCGTTATGGTGTTTTTGCTATATTTTATGACTCTTCTAATGTGATTCCAGGTCAGGGTGTGAAGCTTCAGCCCTCCATCGATGATCTTAGGAGGTAAATATGATTATCTTTAAATCCTTATTAATTTTGGTTATCAAGGACATCTGTGTCTTTCTCCTAAACATGTTTTAATTTTTAGCATCTTTAAGATAGGTTTTTTTCCTTCGAAGTTAATTTTTTCTGGTTTTCTTTGGTCTAGTAGTAATACTCGTTCTTCTCAATTCTTTTTGGATCGTCTCCAGAATTTAGTGATTTATATCGATTGTCCATTTTCCAAATTAATTCCAACTATCATGTAAAAAACCAGCAATGAAGAACATTACCTTATGATGAAGGTTGAACTTTTTTACGCAAAGAAATTAGGAAATATCTTGATGTTTGGTGTCTTCTAAGAGGATAGATAGAAAGTATTCTATTTTTTATCCCACCACTAAAATCCCATCTTCTAGCACCATTTTGTTCTTTTTTAATCACTCTAAAAGTTACCTGGAAAGTTGTATGGGAATCAGCCATAAGTTTTTGGAATGACTAATAATGGTAAAAAAAACATCCATAGTGATGCACAGTAGTGGGTAAAACAAAACCCAGAGACCAAATGTGAAAATGGCCTAATAGTCGTAGGAATGAATCCGTTGAATATTTTCTTAGGATACATAAGCTGTTGCTCAGTGTTCTCAAATGTGTTTGGCAGGGGGGTGTTTCAGAGCATCATGTCAGAGGGAGCAAAAGAATTGGCCGATGAAGATGATAGAAACAAAGTTGAAATTGAAATTGAAAGTGAAGGAAGGAGGAGTAAAATTGTGGATGACAAAATGAAGGTTAAGAGTATCATTGGTGATGTAAATGATGCAGCATTACAAGGCCAAGGTGATCTACCGGTTCAACCACAAAGACTGCAAAGTCCGGGAGGACACATCAACTGGGAAAAATTTCTTCACATCTCATCCATTAAGGTTCTGCTGGTAGAGAGTGATGACTCTACCAGACAAATTGTTACTGCTTTGCTCCGGAAATGCAATTACGAAGGTTTATACTTCTTTCATTGACAACCTTCATTGTTTGAACTGTGGTGAAATTAAGATTGTCAGGTATTGTCCTTTTTAATTCTTATAAGAATCAAACAATCATCCAATAGAGATCAAGATGACTCATAAATTGGATCCAGTTCACTCAACTAGACTATTATGCAGATTGGTCAAACAACTATACTGCACAAGAAGATCAAATCGATTCAATTAGTTTGATTAACCCAAGATATTATAAACTTATATGTCTCGCTTTGTTATTCTATAATTTCTGGAGTTGAGATAATTTCCTCAAAATGTATGTACTCCATACCTATAAGAATTTGCTTCAAAATGAAGTTCATGTAGGAAACTGGACTGCATGAAGTAAAAATTAACCATTAATCCTTTCTTTTCCTTGACTTACATTCTGATCGTGTTCATGATCTTTTTACTTAATTAATAAATGTTGAGAGTCTCATACCGTAATATTTCAAACATTTTGTACCACTATGTCCTTCCATTTTCCCGCTTTTAGCCCCACCGCCAATCAACCAAAAAATGTACAGAATTCCCAGATAAATGGTGAGACACTATAGTGACAGAAAGTCTTGGGACCAAAAATGGAAAAATGAAAGTTGGGATCAAAAGTAGGAATGACCTAATGCCATGGGATCAAAAGGGGAATAAGTTCTATTTAAAATACATATATCTGTTCATAAATTCTTAAAATAGGAATGACCCCATTTCGTTCCTATAGTGTGGTTTGTCTAATGCTCCTTTATGGTCTAGTTTAAGACCCCCCCAATACATTAGACATTCATGAACTATATCAATATAATTGGCCAATGTTGTTGGTTGGATGCAGTGATTGTAGCGGCCAATGGATTGCAAGCATGGAAGGTTTTAGAAGAGCTAACCAACCATATCGATCTTGTGTTAGCTGAGTTAGAAATGCCATGTGTGTCAGGCATGGGTCTTCTTTGCAAAATCATGAGCCATAAAACACGCAAGAATCTTCCTGTCATTAGTGAGCATTGACTTCTTTTGGCAATTCCAAACCTCTGATATTGCAAAGGTTTTTACTGTTGTGTCAGTCATGTAAAATTGAATTCATTAACCTCCACAGTTAATGCGGGTTATTTGCAGTGATGTCATCTCGTGATTCTATGGGTTTAGTAGTTAAGTGTTTGTCAAAAGGTGCTGTCGACTTTCTGGTCAAACCTGTTAGGAAGAATGAGCTCAAGAACCTATGGCAACATGTCTGGAGAAGATGTCAGAGTGTGAGTAGTTGCTATTTCTTCACTTCCTCATCATTAAACTTAAGAAAGCTCCCATATGATTAAAACACTTTCTCTCTGGTCAGGATTAAGAGTTCTAAATACAAACATACATGGACATATGGCTTTAGAGCTTGGCTTAGGCTAAATGGGTCGCTCTGATGGGCTAATAATACCTTGAGTTGAACTAAGTAATATATTAGATTCAATCTTTCAGTGTGATTTGGCTCAAGTGCCTTATAAGTTATAACCTAGCTGAGTGGTCCTATCCCATTTATGAAATTTATAACAAGAAAAAGAGAAGGGACAGTAAGAAGCCTCTTTTCAAAATTTTATTTTCCTCATTCATTGATGTTTCCATTTCTTAGTCTAGTGGGAGTGGGAGTGAAACTGGGACAAAACCCCAAGACTCTGTAGATTCAAAGAGTGTTGAGAAACAAGAAAACAAAAATGGCATCAATGGTGGCGATTCCAATGGAAGCGGCAGTTCGAATATTGGCAACGATGGTGCTGCCCCCCAGGTTAAACAATTTCCCTTGTCCCTATCTTTACTACAAGACACATGTTTATGTTTGAAAATCAACTGAGACGTTTATTCTAACAGCCAACTTCAAACCATGAGCATTTTGAAGACAACCATGAAAATCACAACACCTGTGCTTCAGGAGGTAATCATCATTATGGACAAAATGGGAAGACAGAGAAAGGTGGAAGTGGAGATGCATGTGGCAGTGGTTTCCCTGGACATAGAATGGATCCAAACAAACTTGCAAAAAGACAAGCTGCTTTGACCAGGTTTCTTCAGAAGAAGAGAAGAAGATGGTTCACGCCTCACGGATAAGGTCATGTGATGGACCAATGAACTGGATTTCAGGTCGAACCTTGTTCTAATCACTTCCAATTAGACATAGCAAACCAACCCTAGTAATACTAGAGTAGCGTTCATGTCAGGCCAACCTGACGGACCGTTTTGGGAAAAAAAATGAAACTTATGGTCCAATTTTTGTTCATTAGTATAACCTATTAGTTTCAATCGTTAGAATTTAATTCTGTTCGCAAGTGGATCCTTCAACCTCACTTTTTCACTTCTAACACAATTTAATACTACGTACGGAGCATTAATTTATCATTAAAATCATATTTAAGCTCGTTTTTTACAGTATAATTTAGCGATTGGAAATATTGTTGCTACTAATGGATTAAATTGAACCATAAACTTTCATTTTACTTCAAAATAGAGTTGGCCCGCAGGATTCCCGTTAGACCAACCTGATATGAACGCTACTTAGTAGAACTAATGAGGATGAGTGATTAAATGGTTCTTTCATGTGTTGCAGTGGAAGTGATCATGACAGTCCATGGAAATTTCAGTCTTGAAGGAATCTAGAACCAGTGGTCGTGTTTTTTTCCATTGAAGCCTATGTTCCAGACATCCAGTCAATATCGGTGTTGTTCATTCAGTCCAGAATGTTCCATTCCAATTAGTGGGATAATTCTTGTTGTACACAAAAATTTTATACAAATTATATACTGCTTGTGTACACAGACATTTTGGTATAAAATTATGTCATTTTTCAAAAGAATTGCCAATTGGTATTTTATTCCTGCCATGTTGCATCTCTCATGTTAATATGATAATGGCAAATTGTCAATGGTACATTACAACAACATTCTTATTTCCAAAAGATTTTGGAGTCGACTAACATGAATCGATCCATATATGAGAGTCCTAGTTAGTTTTTTACGTTTTAAACATTTACCGTTTTTTTTAATAAAAAACATGTTTAAAACAAAAAAAGATCGGTCCGTTTAGAAAGGAAAAAAAACCATACTTCCTGTATCAAACGTATAGGAGATCAACAATAGTTTAAAAGCAAAAGGAAAACCTCCTCCTGTGACCCCGTGTTTTTGTATTGTTATAATACAAAATATGCAATTATTAAATGCTAAAATTAATTGCATGTCAGCTAAAGCTAGCATCTTAAAAACCTAAAACTTAAAATACTGCTATATTTAAAAGTCAACGTGGATGCTGCAGTGAAGGTGGCAGGGGACTGCAGCGGGTTGGGTGGTAAGGGACTATACAAGGTCTTTTATTGGTGGTGGAATAAAGAGAAGACCCGGACTTTGCCAACCTCGCGAAGCTTAAGCCCTTGCGGTAAGGGAGGCCATTAGTCGGCTTAGGGACTATGGCTTTGATTTTATTGATGTGGAATGTGACTCTACTCAGGTTATTAAGAGTATTCGGGATAGTTCAGATGAATCGTCCTTCGGTGTCATTATTGATGATTTAAGAGATAATATGACTAGTTTCACTAGTATTTCTATTTCTCATGTAAAGCGGTCAGCGAACCGGGTTGCTCACGATCTAGTATGTGGCATACCATACCTCCGTATTGTATTATGGATTCATTAAACTTTGATATGATCAATAATATGTAGTTTGACTTCCTTAAAAAAAATACTGCTATATTTTTTACGTTTTCCCAAACAAACATATCAAAATTAAGTTTTTCTTAAACCTGACATTTATTTAGTATAAAGTGTTACACATAAACAATAATAAGCATAGCAGTTTCACAATTTTTTCATGTCATCCGTTATCTTGATGAAAATGATGAATAGTGTTACTCGATGATCATATAAAGATGAAGATGTTAACTTGGTCTCATTCTATTGTTATTATGCCTTATTTTTTGACATTATTTTGCAAATTTATGTCATCGACTTATGCAATTACGAATTATCTCATTATGTATTAATAATGAGATTTGCTACTTGAATATGTGTGTACTTTTTTTATATGTTATTTTGTGACATTTATATTTTAAATGTTCAAAATAAGGCCTCAAATTTCTTGTCTGAATTTTTGTAATAGATATTGTGTTAACTCAAATATGTATTTACACGTATTTTATAAGTCAACATTTTTTGAACGATTGTTTACCGTTTTTTTCACTCACGTTATCGAATAAAACTTGTATGTATAAATCCTCATTTAATTCCAGTACCGTATTTAATTAACTAAGATCACAACCAAAAAAGAGAAGAAAGATGAGAAGAACAAAAAAAAGTTAGATAAAATCGATAAGATAAAAATAAACATAAGATAAATAATATAAGAACATAAGAAAGATAGAAGATAAAAAGGTAAAAGAGCATAAAAATATAAAAATAACATAAGAACATAAAATATAACGAAGATAAAAGATAAAACAAAAAAGAAAGAGAGGAAAGAGAGAAAAGAGATCAATCATCCACACGAATCTGTACCCTCCATTTCGTTCTCTCCGATGTCATGCTCTCATCTAACCAAATAAGACGCATGTCAATTCCAATTCCTCTAATCCAACTTTGTTTGGGTCTTCCTCTCTCACTTTTTTCAGATGATCTCATTTCTCAAGCGGGCTTTTCTGGTATGTTCACACATCCAACGCAACACACACATTGTTGATTAATTCAGTCCCAATTAAGAATCTAATCCCACTAAACATGATAAAATTCATAGAATCAATCAATAAGAACACTAACCAGTTGAGGAGAAACCGAATATTGATGGTGCCGTTGAAGATGACGAAGCCATGACGTTAAGATTCTCTAACAACATCCCGTGACACGTTGCGTTGTACACCGCAACATATTCGGCCATCATTGTTGAAGTAGTCGTAAGTCTTTGCTTGTGGCTTTTCCAAGATATTGGCCCACCTGACAGCAAGAAAAGGTATCCCGAAGTAGATTTCCTATCGTCTTTGCACTTAGCAAAGTCAGAATCGGAATATCCCACCACTTCTAAATTATTAGACCTCTGGTAAGTAAGTTTGTACTCCTTAGTCCCTTGAAGATACCGCAAAACTTTCTTAGCGGCTTTCCAATGATCTAATCCTGGGTTAGATTGATATCTACCCAACATGCCGGATACATATGCGATATCTGGACGAGTACAAACATGAGCATACATCAGGATTCCAACTACAGAAGCATAAGGAATGAGTTTCATTTGCTCTTTCTCAACCTCGGTTTTTGGGCATTGGAATGACCCAAAAACGTCTCCATTAACTACTGGAGCAACTGATGGAGAGCATTGTTGCATGTTAAAACGTTCTAAAATACTCTCAATGTATGCCTTTTGGGACAAACCTAACGTCCCTTTCACTCGATCTCGGTGAATTTCAATGCCTATAACATAAGAAGCTTCACCTAGATCTTTCATGTCAAAATGGCCAAATAATAAGCGTTTTGTTTCATGCAATAAATCCAGATCACTACTTGCTAATAAGATGTCATCAACACATAACACAAGTATGATGAATTTGCTACCACTCATTTTAAGATAAGTGCATTGATCTACTTTGTTTTTAATGAAGCCATTTGATTTCATGACTTCATCAAATTTGAGGTACCATTGTCGAGACGCTTGCTTGAGCCCATGAATAGACTTCTTGAGTTTACACACTAGATGTTCTTGACCCTTAGAAACATAACCTTCTGGTTGTATCATATAAACATCTTCGTGTAAATCTCCATTTAAGAAGGCTGTTTTGACGTCCATTTGATGTGGCTCAAGATCAAAGTGAGCTACTAAAGCCATAACGACCCTTAGGGAGTCCTTTCGAGAGACAGGTGAAAAGGTCTCTTGATAATCTACACCTTCCCTTTGAGTGTAGCCCTTAGCAACCAATCTTGCTTTGTATCTTTCAATGTTTCCATTTGGATCTAATTTAGTTTTAAAGACCCACTTGCTTCCAACGGGCTTATGACCCTTTGGTAATTCAACAAGTTCCCAAACATTGTTCTTCTCCATGGAAAGAAGTTCTTCATTCATGGCTTCTTTCCAATGAATCGATTGGTCACAATTAATGGCATCATGGAAAGATATAGGATCTACGACTTTACCTAAATCAAAGTCGGTTTCTTCATTTAAATATATCAAATATTCGTCAAAATTTGTGGGGCACCTCACCCTTTGAGATCTCCTGAGGGATTGCTGATTTTATGGAATTTCATTAGAAACAGGTGGAGTTGGTTCAACATTTATTGGAGTTTCATTCGCCTCTTGACTTGTTGCATCATTATTATGAGGCGTATGACTTTCATTATGATCTTCAAGTGAAGAGTTAGGTGGAATGAGCAGTATAATAAGTGCATTCATTCCGGCACTTTCTTGAAGTTCATCATTAATGTTTGAACCACTACTACTCACACTAATGTTAGTATTCTCAAGGAATTCACCATGTCGGGTCTCGACAATCCGGGTAATATGAGATGGGCAATAGAACCTGTATCCCTTAGATCTCTCGGGATAACCAATAAAGGAACAACTAATAGTTCTCATGTCAAGTTTCTTCAATTGAGGATTATACACTTTTGCTTCAGCCGGACAACCCCACACTTTTAGGTACCGTAGACTAGGTTTCCTTCCCGTCCATAACTCATATGGAGCTTTAGGAACATATTTAGATGGTACTCTATTCAATATGTGGGTTGCTGTTTTAAGGGCCTCGTTCGATCCATAAAAATTGGGGAAGATTTGAGTTAGCCAACATACTTCGGACCATATCCATAAGAGTCCTATTCCGCCTTTCGGCAACCCCATTTTGTTGAGGGGTGCCAGGCATGGTATTTTGGTTGATGATCCCATGTTCTTTACAAAATTCATGGAAAAAACCGGGAGCTTGACCAATATCGGTGTGTCGACCATAGAACTCACCACCCCTATCCGATCTCACTACTTTGATCTTTCGATCAAGTTGATTTTCAACTTCGGCTTTATAAGCCTTGAACATATCTAGTGATTCGGATTTTTCCTTAATCAAATATAGGTACATATAGCGCGAGTAATCATCTATGAAAGTAATAAAGGAGTTATGACCACTAATGGAATCGGGAAAAAGCCCACAAATATCCGTGTGTATTAATTCTAACAAACCGGTGCTTCGCGTGGCGCCTTTCTTAGTTTTCTTAGATAATTTCCCTTTCAAACACTTCACACATTTGTCATAATCTGAGAAGTCAAGATTTGGAAGAATGCCGTCTTTCACGAGTTTTATCATTCGATCTCGTGATATGTGGCCCAACCTTTGATGCCACAAATTGGACGACGATTCCAATTCTCTCTTTCTCTTGCAAGGATTTTCAGTTATATTAAATGACAATGGGGATTCCATAAAATTAGTGTCTAAGCATAACTTATAGAGGTTTCCCTCCATGCTACCAAATCCTATTACATTTGAGTTCAAGCTTATTGTCACTTTATTGTATACGAAATTAAATGTAAAACCATCAGCACTTAGTTTCGATACAGACACTAAATTACGAGTAATATTAGGTACATAAAGAGCATCACGAAGATGAAGAATGAAGCCATTCTCTAAAATTAATGAGATAGTTCCAATGGCCTCCACTTCTAATTCTTCTCCGTTGCCCACCTTAATCACTCTTTGCTTTCTTCCCAATGTCCGGATTGAATGGAATCCCTGCAGTGTGTTTGAAACATGAACCATTGAACCAGAGTCAATCCACCAAGTATTAAGGGGAACTGATGTGTTCAATGACTCATAAATAACATAAGTGGTTAAGTTACCTTTCTTAGTCAACCATGCCTTAAACTTAGGACACTCCCTCTGGTAATGCCCTTTGAAACGGCAAAACTTACAGTAGGGACCAGAGTTCACGCTTGCACCTATCTTTGGGACTTTAGAAATGTTACCTTTTCCTCCTCCTTGACGGTTGCCTTTCCTTTTCTTTGAGTTTGTGGTGGTGAGATGAGCAACGTCTGGTCTTTCAGCTTTAAGGCGCTCTTCTTCTTGAACACACATAGCAATCAACTCGCTCATTGTCCACTTCTCTTTCTGCGTGTTGTAATTGATCTTGAATGGACCATAAGACGCAGGTAGAGAAGTCATTATGAAATGAACGAGCAAACCTTCACTGATCTCCATGTCCATACTTTTGAGCTTGTTAGACATATCAGACATTTTCATGATGTGCTCACGAATACCACTTACTCCATCATACTTACTCGTCAACATTTTGAGAATTAGGGTACTGGCATGTGCTTTAGAAGTGCCCTTAAATTGTTCTTCCACATATTCTAGGTAGGTCTTCGCATTTTCAGAGTCAGGAATGGCTCCGCGAATGGCTACAGATATGGAATTCTTAATCACCATGAGACACATTCTGTTGGACCTCTCCCACCGTTCATAAGAATGCTTTTGTTCCACAGTACTTTCATTATTAGGAGCACCTGGTGGATCCATTCTCAGTGCTTGGTCGAGGTCCATCATGCCAAGTGAGAGTTTTATAGATTCTCTCCATGTTGAAAAGTTTGTACCATTTAGAGATTCTATCCCATAATTGTACAGAGTAAAAGTAGATGCTGAAATAAAAGTTTTAAGAGAGGCAATAATAGAAGCTATTCATAATATATAAGGGAATACAATAAGGAATGTCAATTATTAGTAAATAAGCCTATTATCAACACCAAATAATAGGAAAAGTTCATATCATGCTTAATAACTAACATTGCGTTGGCTAATGCTAACTATCAAACATTATGATATTAAAATTAAAATTAGGCTGCAAATATGTCATATATCACCTTTGGGCAGAAATATAACACATTCATTTATGCTTAAATTTCATTACATAAGTTATCAAATAACACACCTTTGGGTTTGTTATTTGAAAACTCATATAATTGTATAAGATAGTCAAAATCAATAATCTTCCGTTGGGCCGATCATTAAATTTGACACTAAGATAATCAATCAGTAATCCATACTACAACTTCGAATATGGAAGGAAATATGAATTTGATGCAATATTGGTCCTAAATCATGGACTATATTTTAAGCATCATGCAAGTTGCAAATGATCAGATTAGCAGATCGTTTACGTGTTTATATGATCTTAATCAATAACACAAACCAACAACATTATCTGCACTTGTAGCAGATTGTACTCTTCCGTCTGCACAATCGGCAAATTTAAACACGTACACTACGCACTTATCTTGATCAACCAAATTCATTCATTTTAAAACTGAATTTAAGTTCAAGAATAAAGCAACAGACTAATGCTTACGGAAATTTAGACATAGTCATATACATCACTTTAACATATGTATATGCGGAAGTGAATCATTAAATGGTGTGGTGTCAGGCACTTCTTACAACGGATGCATCAAAATGAAAACCCCATAGTAATGGTTAACATCAGAATTGAGTTTTAAACAATGAAAAAGAAAAGCATCGATCATATTCAAAACACTGATAGTGCTAGATGATGTCGCCACTTAATCCATTTAACAAGCAGAATACAATTTAAAGCCAACACTTATCTTTTGTAATACGGTGCCAATACATTTAAAGCCATCACTTTCATATGCAGAAATAGAATTATATGAGAATCATAACTAATAGATGGGATAGGCACTTCTTATACAAATTATGATTCATACAAAATCGGCAACAACAAATAAATCATTTGGGCAGATTCAAACTTCAAATTTTATCAACATAAAACACCAGAATTTCATTAAGGCACTTCGTATACAAACAACGAAATCTTAAACTAAAAGAATCAGTTTAGAATCCAACGGAAATAATATCAAGGCAGATTGAAAACTACGAATTTCATCATGGTAAGCAAGAATTAACACGTCTCGGTTGGGGAGAAACCATGCTTTGATTGTGTTGTAGAAGATGATGAAGTCATTGATTATAGATGATACATTTCTATCACACTCATCTTTTGAATGTGACATTATTTCACCGCCCAACACTCCATGCCCTACATCAATGGTACATTACCATCATGTAAATTTAAAAATATAAATACTCTTGTTGCGTGCTGATGCGTGATTACTCATTAGGTAGAAGCCTTCATTTGTTCATGTTATGAGTAGGAATGTGCATGAGCTAGTTCGGTTTAGGAACCTTAGGTCCTTAACAGGAACCGGTAACACTGGTCTTGTTCCAGATCGGTTGACTCACAGTTGTGTGTAACAGTATATCATTTCAGTTCAGTTTCTGCCCATTTTTCTAGCCTAATACTACGTATATAAAAGAAAACAGTACAACTATGGGCTGTATCAGTTTCTTCTTAGAAGTCCTTGAACTATCCACCCAACTTTGGAGTATGGACATAAAAACGATGCACCAAAAGTTACTCTCATGTGTGTCCAGAACACACCTAGAAAACCCCCTCCGAATCCGACAAAATTGAGCAAACTGGAAGCTATCCTTCACTCACCTCTCTATCTATAAAACCCCCTACAAGAGGAGAGCAGAACCTCTGCCCCTCTTCCAACAAACTTGCTTGCCATCCCAACGTGTCTATCCTTGGTTGTCGTGTCTAGCGGTCTAGCCCATATCCATTTTGGAGCAATTAGACTGGCTCTCACTTTTCATGACTAGTTCAAGGGAGGGTGATTGAGGGGGCAGGGTCGAGATAAATGACAAAATGTTGATGTACCTGATATCCAATTCCAACGCCAAATCCAGGGTGACTGAATAGTATTGATCACCTTGGGCCAGTTAAGTTGTACAATGTACATCTATATTACTCCAAAAAAAGTTGTACATCTATATGATAATATAAAAAATTGAATTTTTCATTCACAAAATGATATTTGAGCATGATGGGTTTATGGCTAGTTGTTTCGGCATACCGTGCATCATAGGTCAACAACATACAACATCTTTCTAATTTACATTTTGTAGTAGCAATCAACTGTACAAACATAAAAAGGGATAACTTAGGGGGGATCCCAACAAGATGGATGCACTTGTCAATCTTCGGTAGTCTTTCCACCGTCTTCATCATCTTGACTCAACCCATTAGTATGAAATTGAGAACTGCTAATGTCATGTCTCTGAGCAGCAGCAGAAGGTTTATTTCCAATCCGTGGCGATGGAAGATCACTGTCTTGCTTTCCCTGACATCATCAAATTTAATTTATTTACTGATAAGCAACCTCCTAACCAAAGAAAAAATTACAGCACCCTAAAGAAAGCTAAACCGCGTAGCCTGACCAAAAGTATCAACAACTACGTGACACAAGTCCTTATTTTTCAGGAAAACATTGTCTAAAGATAATTTTACAACACAACCATATTCGACAACTAATTTTCCTGCAATCACTCTCAGACCCTCTTTATATCAATAATGTTGCAGACGTACCCTGTTCCTATCTCCCCAACCAAGGCCGAAGGACAGTAAACCGATCTTTCTTGGGGGTGCATTCCTTGGAGACCTAAAATTCATAAGACCATCAACAGGCATCATCTCCTTATGAAGCTCACATTACCAAGGTTAAAAGGAACATTCAGAAAGAAATGCATTTCAGGTTAAGGATTGTCTATTTATCTCAAATTCTCAATAAAGTCAAGACAGCAGAATAAATATTCTAGGAAGCAAAGATAGACAGCAGAATAGCAGGGAAATAGAAGTACGGAATATGTATTCATACTGTGGGGAAGCTAAAGCTTTGACTTGGCCAGTTTCATATTGTACAGTTGCTTCCAGCATCGATTCAGCCATCACTACTCTCTTTTCCATCTGAGCGAGGGATGTCATGGCTTTTTCATACTTTTCCTGCAATGAAATTGGTTGTGGGCCCAATGAAGACATGTAAAAGGAAACTGAGATTACCGTGGGTGATCAAACAAAAACGAGACATGTTTGACCAAGATTCAAGATTTTAATTTTGACAAGGTAGAATTGCCATTGGATACGAATCCTACTCTGTTTTTTGTTCGATTAATCGAATTTGTGAGTGTAACTTGTATGCTGATTCTTTACTGGAAAATTACTAAAAAATAGCTGTACTGGACAAAAAAGAAGGCTAAAGGCTGAAGGACATGAGCATGGTACTTTTGAAGTTTCCAAGAAACAAATTGAAGGGATGAGAAAAGCTTATCAGCACATATTTCAAATCAAAGGAACCTGAAGAATGTATGCTGCATATTTTTGAGCAGCTGCGTCTTGCTCTGCAGCAATCCTAGCCTCTTCTGTGATCTTTTGTTCTTGTTCAACCCGCATAAGAACCTAAAATGCAATGCATGCAAGAGTGTTTTTTTATTGATGCACAAAACCGATGTTTGTAAAATGATTATAGGAGATGGAACACACAGAAGTGGTTCTGACATACTATATACCTGAACCATTGCGGTCTCCTGTTCTTTCTTATCTGCAAGTGTTTGGTGCAGTTCAGTCAACTGTTGTTCCAGCTGCTCAACCTGTGTGCAGGTTACCATCAAATAATCAAGGATCGTGGCTAATACAGATTGACTAATATTCTATGAAACGGAAAGGGAAAAAACAATTCGTGGGCAAATTAACTACCCAGGCAGTAGGCTGTTTTTTGAATTTTCTATCAGTATCTATCTGCCGAAGTTTATATTCTACTAATATGGGCAGGCCCATATATGCCTCTTTCTCATTTATCTCTCTATATTCATAATGTGTGCGATTGTATTTAGCAGCAGACAGTAGCATATAAAGCTCCAGACACAAATATATTGGATACCCGTGCACAAAGTTCTCGTCGATTATCTTCCTTGACCATTTCCATGAGTGCAGTTTCCAATTCTTCAGCTCTAGAAAAGAATGTCCACGTGGTATAAAAAAAGTCAGTGTCTTAATCTTCTGAGGGCTTTAGCAACCATATATGCTGCTAATATGGTATCTTCAGAACATTTAAAATAAAACCAATGGTGATAAAAAAAATTGGCAACAACATGCATCCACTGCAGAAAATTGTTCAAAATTGTTCAAAGACTTGAAGAGCTCAATATCTTAGCCATTTTCATAGTTTAACCAGAATATAGAAGCACCTGAAACGAGTCAGTAGAGACTACATAAAAAAATTATACTTCAAAACTAACCTGAGTACTGCTGCTCTCTTCTCTTCCAGTAAATTACATAACTCAACCTTCAACCATACTATCTGCACAAGAGCATTCAATATTTCTAAAACTACAGGACTGCAGAGAGAACATATAGCTTCAACAATACAACAAACCAGAAGCAGGCAGTCTTTTAGAATGGTGCTTTTTTATGCTTCATATGTCCTATTTGCCTAGGACAATAACAAACTAGAATATGCTCTGAAAACCAGTCATGCAAGTTACCTGTTCTTGAAGATCTGGAATAGAATCTGCTTCTGAATCTGAGGTCATGCTGTTCAGAAAATCTTCCAGATTAGTAGAGCTAGCCCTGGAATGTGATATATCACTGTCTATAATCCTATCACCGGGATCTTCCTTCAGTTTTGCTTGTCTCATTCTCAATTGAGAATCATGCTTGAAACTATACAGCTTAGTTGCAAGACTTTTTGAATCTTTTAACGCTCCACAACCTTTTGATCTTTCCTCTAGTGTTGAAATAACAGACGGTCTATGCTTTTCTCTTAGTTCCTGCAACCTGTCTTCAGTTACATTCAAGAAACCCATGCATGCAGTCAACACAAGTTGACTGCTATCAAAAGTTGAACCAGCAAGGGATTGTAATAAAGTTATGGCATCTCCAGCATCATTAGTTGTCACTATAGCAGGACCTGCATTTATTTGAATATCATCATACTATTTTCTAATGGACAGCCAATTATATCAACAGAAAGCAACAATAGCAGCATAAATGTTTTTTCCTTTTTTAGTGAATCGGAAAATTTATTACTTCCTCCGTTCTTTAATAAATGCAACACTTTCCACTTTCGGCAGTTTCAAATTAAATGCAACATTTCCATTTTAGGAAATATATAACACTTAAAATACCCTTTATACCCTCAATTATTCTACGCTCCTACCACTCATTCCACCCACCCTCGTTTCATTCCACCATACCCCTTTTAATCTTCCACCCACCCTCGTTTCATTTCCACCGCCTCCACAATTCCTGATCTTCATCTTTATTCCACCATCTTGACTTTCATTCTTTATTTTTCCAATCTTTGTTACCCTTGCAGCCTAGGTATTTAATTGACGAAGTTGTTTTGTAATTTTTGGGAAATCGAAGACTTCAACGACAATGAAGAATACTTTCTTGCTCCGCATACTCCCCCGCGATGTAATACCTTGGGCTTGAACCAGTTGAACGACTTGGAAGACTTAGTAGTTCCGGATACCCCACCTCACGTTCAAGCGGCAAGAGAGGCTACCAAGGAGAATATGCGAAACCATTGTCGCTGCTCAATATTCCGGTGAAGGCGGATCCACCGAAGTTCGTAACGGAGGAAAAGGTTTCAGATTTACTCCGTATTAGTATGTGGATGTAATGAAAAGTTTGATTGATGTGCAACTGTAATACTTTATGAGCTTTTTGGTTTATACGTACATTGCAGGGTAAAATAGGTAAGTATATTACTTTTTCTTTGTTTCTTAATCTTTGTGCCTAGGCTCATGTTGCATTCTTTTCCGAACAGAGGAAGTATATAATAAGGGATAGAAAATGAGATAAAACTACCCTGCTCTCACATAAAGCAATTGCTTAATGAAGTTAAGACTTAAGAGCAGTTCGATACCATATAATTCCATCAAAGCAAGAGCAGTCCGAAATAGCATGACACGACTCCCTTCAAACAGAAGTACATCCCAAATTCGTAGAACTGAAGAAGAGCAAAGAAAAAGAATGAATGACAGGCCCAGTATATTAGTTGCAAACTTGCAATTACAAGAGGAAGTGTAATACACTAATGTAAATAACAGATGTAACTGAAGTACAGTTCTATGATTGAATTGAAGTTCCCTTATTGCACAACTTTCAACTTACCACTTTCCCACGGAAGAATATTTACATATATTGAAAGGAACCAAGGTGCAGATATCCATGTAACCTGCACTCCCAAGTAATCTAGATGATTCGCTGCAGCAAATTCATATATTAAGGACCTAAAGCCCTCCTATATGGAAAGAATCAAGGAATCAGGTAATCATCATTTAAACAATGTACAGACCCAGTTTAGGGAACCTTTGACGCATCAACTCTTCATAAACAAGCTGGTCAACCTGAAAATGGAAGAGATTACCAAAGTCATCTTTAATAATTGTCTTAAAAATGAGTAAAGATGTTACACAAACCTGAGATTCTATCATTTCTTGTGAGAAACATCCATCAAAATAGTCATCCATAATACCCACCAAGGCCCTGAAAGGGTTTAGAATGGTTAAATAGAACATCCGTAAAACATGATAGTCAGGGTTTGGAAGATAACCATCCAATCTAGAGTGTACCAATGTAGCCATAGGAGTTTTTCTATTTTTATTATGTGATCATCAAGAGATTATACTACCACCATCCTTAAATAATCGCGACATGTTGAAATTTACACTATTCACATGCTCTACTTTGACTATAATTCATTTACTCCTTCAGTCCCTTAAAACTTTGCCATCTTTGAATTTTTTGGTCAACCGTGTTCAACTTTGACTAATCGTATATTTTTATAGAAAATTATTTATAATATAAAAATTATATGAAAATATTCCTTGTTAAAAGTACTTTCATAAAAGTATAAAACTTATCACATTCATAATATTATACGAATCAAAATCGTGGTCCAAACTTTACCACCATTGACTTGAAACGTCAAAGATGGCAAAGTTTTTAGGGACGGAGGTAGTATTAATATACTACGTATAATAGATTCATTTTTCTAAAAAATATTGTTAAGTTTGACTAAATTTTCAAAATCTGAATTTTATTTTTTTACTATTAGCGAATTAGAGGGAGACCCAAACATATGTGGATTAGATGAGTTAGGAGTGATATGCTTCTTCTTGGGTTGGACGAGAGTATAACTTTGGAGAGAGCAAAGTGGAGGGTGGATATTCGTGTGGAGCATTGATCTTTATCATCTTTATCATCCTTTTATGTTTATCTTCTCTATCTTTCGTATGTTCTTTATCATTTTATTCTTTTTATTTTATATACATTCTTTTCATCATTTTTATCTTTATCTTTATCTTACCTTTTTATCGTTTTTATCATATCTTCTTTTTTAACTTTCTTGTTTTCTTTTCCTTTTTGCTCCGATATCATGTAATTCATGTTAGCTGACTTCAAAATTTTTTGGGACTAAGGCTGGGATGTTGTAAGACTTGTAACTGTTGAAGCAAATTAAATATATCAAAGGTCAAAGGTATGCCTTGGCAAACGTGAAAATGGAAGTGTGTCAGCTAAAAAAGAATGCAAGAAGTATAAGATATTAATATACTCTCAATTCACTTGCTCATATATTTTAGGGTTGCCTCACTGATTTACTTCGGGAATTAAATCACAAAAAATATCAAAGTCAAACTCTTATGTATTACTCCGTATTTTCCTATTATTCTTGTCCATGGCCAATAAAACACTTATTTCTATAAGGGGAGTTACATAGTTAATCCATGCCTAAAAATTGACCCCCAATCTCCACAATGCGCTTTACCGAAATACGGTACACTCACCGAACCTCTTGAAATGTGATTTTTCATCTCTAAATTTGGTGCTTCTAATTTCAAAGACCACTGTATTCCCACATTTCAAAGACCACTGTAATTCCATAAAGTTCAATTTATGGTTAATGTTGACTTCACACCTAGTATCCCATAATTATGACCAGTTTCCATGGCACATATATTTTGGAGTTCTCTTTATAAAAAATATTACGATTGTTTTTCAAGTTTCAAGAAATGGAGAGTGTTAATTTTGTTGTTGCTATAGTTAATTCAACTTGTAAGCTCAGGACATCTATAAGCTCTTGCTTGAAGGGGAATGCTAAGTGTGTTGGTCTAAATTCAAAGTGAACATGACTGTACTGATGCCAACCAAAAAAGACTAAATTATGGTTTCATGCAAAACAAGCTTCACTTCCCATTGATATAATATGCACACTAAACATAATAGGGCTGGAATTATGATATGATCAAGAATAACTTTCTTTTTCTATATGCTAAAAAGGAATGTAAACCTTGGGCAAGCTTCACTGAATACTTACCAAAAGGCATTTTCCTCTGGCATCATGAGTAGCAATAAACCGGCGAAAAAATTCATTGCCTGCAAGAGATGAGTTATGCCGGGCATATGCAATTGAATTGAGATACAGCTAAAATTGAGCTATGAATCACCTGGCAATACCCAACTGATGGGTTATGTCGGGCATATGCAAGAAGTAAGCGCCTTAAGGAATTCCGACCATTCTCGTCCAATGCAGGATGTCCAGGAAAAGTTCGGGGAAGATCCTAGATTATCGAAATAAAGGGAAAAACATACCAGGCAACGAAAATCTGGGTTATGTATAGACTACACAGCATGAAAGTTTTATCTGCTAGAAAATTTAAAAGAAGGAACAATCATCTTGCTGGTAAAGAAAACAGAGTATACAAAAAAGGAACATGACAGGCTACAAAACACGCCACTAAGAACAGTCAGCATGCAGGAAGCAGCCCTGCTCTTTTAATGGCAACTGAGTTAAACCAGCTCCATTAGGACAACTGACTATTTTGGCATATTGGAGGTATAGAAGTAGAACAGGAGGAGGCAAAACAATGATCAACATTCTATATTGAACACCCTGGGTCCTAAAAAGAAGTAGCACCTATGAATTTAAAAGATTGAATGATAAATTCCAGGGCCCATGCATCTAATGACCTTCTCAATCTGCTTCCTCCATTTCTCTGACACATCAGCTAGTCCACTGTTGCATCCCGTGCTATTTTTGTCTTCTAATGGTTTGCCATTCTTCGGGTGAGGACCAATATCACTTTCGGAGAAGGTCAAATCCTGGTAATATCTCTCCGCCCGACGTGCTTTGACACCAATGAAGGCTTGCCAAACCTGAATTATTTAACAGCGTCTCGATGTTAGAGATAAATGTAATGAAGAATCTTATAGCTGGTTAGCATGTAACAAAAACACCTCTCCGCGAAGATCTCTTGGTACTCCTCCATGAACAAGTAGCTCAAGTTCATCCTTCCAAGGCACAGAATGTTCTGCAGAAACTCCATCTCTTGCACTACATCCTTCAGCAAATGCTTTTGAACTGCCATTCAATATCACATTGCTGTTTTCATCATCCTTATTTCCGGTTTCTTCCCCCGAAGGATTTGAATCTCCAATTGGCAGAAGGTTATCATGAGAAGACGATAACTGCTCACCTTTCATGTTACTTTTGTTTTTCACACGAAATGCCATCATAGTTTCAATAGCAAATAGAGATGATCTAATGTTAGTCCATGTCTTCACCTCACGGTTTTTTGGTTGTATGAAAGTTTCCACCTCTTTCTCAAGAAGATTTTTTGTATGAATGTCGGAAAGTGGTTTCTCTGTATGTGAATCATCGCCAATACTTGTATGATTTCTTGTTTCAGAATTATCAATTGTGTAGACCTCATGGCTAGGATACTGCTGCTGAACAGAAACTTCTTGGCTGTTAAGAAAACTATTCCACTTATGTGATCTTTCTGCTTCCTCTTCCTAAACCAAACATATGGAATTATTTAGACATAAAGCATACTGCGTCACGAAAGCATCGTACAATTGGTAGATCTGTTCCTTTTTATGAGAATAAAGAAATGAATATTTTCCATGATTTTTGTCATTCTTGATGTTTTCCATCATATATGGACTCTTTCATGCCTTCTCTCAAATGAATATAAATGATCAAATACCACCATCATTTTGATTTACCGATAGTATTTGTTGCCTGAAATTACATTAAGCCAGCAACATAGAAATAATGGAAGAAACAATGGGGTGATAAAGCATTACTTGCACCTTATAGATATTAGCATACTCTCGGTATCTTTGAAGGTGATGAGGCCTCACAGTAAATCCGTATGTGTCCCTATCAAGTTATGAACATAGTATCAAGCACATGAGATTGACAAAGTGCTACATATACCAATGGGGTGATATACCAAATACCAATTAGTCAATAATCACGAATTTAGGGCTAAAAATGAAGCTTCTATTAATCTGGCTGGACGGCATTACAGTGTGACAAATCATAAATCATAAATGAGATTACAAACATAATCATGAAATACTTCATTTATGTGGTGTTGTTATACCTTGAATCAACCTCCAATGACCGTTTACTCAATAAGGACAACAACATACTTCATCAACAAATCTAATTCTACTGCCCATATCGCTGTCAACCCCTCAGACCAATCTCAGGTCAGAATAATCCATTATGAATGTTCCATGAACAACCCTTTCACCCCTAATTTCCTATTATAATTCTAAAATATAAGCCCATAAATGAAGAAGAATGAAAAAATGCCAATCTTACTTGGGTTTACGCAAAAATCCACTTATATTTTATGAATAATTACATATAATTACTAACTAACGCTTGATTAATAAAAAGAAATTGTCTAGATAGATCATGGTTCTTTATCAGTAATCCTAAACTGAGTTAACTCGCTCATTTTACGTTTGAGAGAATTAAACGATGGCTGGTAAAAATTTGCCATTTTTCTGTAAAAAAACAGTGTGGGCTTCATGGTATTCAACTTCCCTCCGATTTCGGACTTGTGGACACCTGTATAACTAATATGTTATACACCTTATGTATAACCGCGGTAAAGTCTGTAATGCGGTACCTTTTGGGTTCAAGCCCAGGGGCGGATCTATGCCTATAAGAGTGGGGGCACATGCCCCCAATAAGCTTTTAGAAACACACTATAAATATAGTAGTTTATACAAATTTATTCCTAATAGAAAGAACTTGCCCCCATTAAATTTTTTTTCTTGCCCCCATTAATAATTATTTTATGATATGCATGACCGAAGTGTGCATGCTAAATCAACTAAATTGGTTAAAAAAGATATAAAGTTTTTATGAATCTTGAGGCAATTAAAATAAGTGAAGCTCATTGGAAAGATAATAAATTTCTTCTTATTGTCATTTTCATTTAAAAAATTAATATTGGAATATGAATTTTTTGTTAACCTAATATTCATGTGTTATATATCAAAACTACTGTAATTGTATACTTTCTAAGTAAGGATTTTAGTGCTATGAAGTATTAACTATTAGTCTTGACAAAAATAATAAAATAAAAATTTTTGTTGCTGTAGATGGATTCAATAATAATTGATTTTATTTAGGATAAAATAGTTGTGTAATGACAAAAGTGAGTTCATAAAATATAGACATAACTCCATAAGGTAAAAAATAGGTGAAATTGATAATGAAATACTTTAAAAAATACGGATTATAAAAAAAGTTAAGATTGATAGGTAGTTGTTTTGTAGAAATAATTTAGCAGAAAAGATATTCTAATATGTTTTTTTTGTAATTGTTAGATTTTAATGACGGGAAAAAAAAATCTTAAATGAAAAAGGTAGTATTGTTTGATAAAAATTGACTGTATGATTTAGTTCTGTTTGATATACAAGTTGTTAGGACTAACTAATGTTAAAAGTTACAGGCTTTTCACAAATGCTACTCACTGTAGCATTTCAAAAAAGATCTTTCATTTTTGAAAAATCTCTTAAATTTGGCATGTCAAACATATAACTAGATGCTTTTAAAGATTTTTTAAATAGTACAAAATCTAAAAGGTAGAGTCTTATGCCTACTAAACATGCACTTAGAGTGTAAGTTAGATAAACAGAGCTTCCAATAAATGTTTGTGTCCTATGGATTTTGCCCCCAATAACCAAATTTTCTAGATCCGCCACTGTTCAAGCCCATGGAAAAGATGGGGACTTTTTAGCGACATTTTAGGGGAGCTCCGAGTCGGTGGCTCTGAAAAAATCAGTGTTTTTAGGATCGATTGGACGGCTAATTCATGTTCTTCTTCACACCTGGTTCTCCTTGAATCTCTCCCTTCTGTACCAGTAGTTCTTTAGACTGACAAAATGAAAGTTTTTTGGGTCACGTTTCTCTTTGCATTGATTGGTGTCATCACCCCCATTGACCAAGTTCGTTCATATGGCATTTTTTGGCACTAAGGCATGATTAGTCAATAATTGTGGCACAAATATTCTCTTCCAAATTAGGTCAAATATATTTTAAAGTAAAATAATCCTTCCATTCCATTTTAAAATTCTCAATTTTGTTCTTGAGTGTCTGATTTAAAAGTTCTCAATTCTATTTCAGTAAGACAAATTTAAATAGACAAGAATAAATATAAAAAGATCATACGTAGTACTTCCAAACAGGGACGGATCCAGGATTTCGCGTCAAGAGGGCGAATTTTTTTTTGTTAGTGTAGGGGGCAAAAAAAATTCACTAGTGTAGCAGGGCGGATTTTCTTTCGCTAATGTAGCGAGGCAAATTTTGTTTCGCTTTAGTGTAGCGGGATGATTTTTTTACAATATTGTAGGGCTCTGTGACTAATTTTATTTTCAATTATTATGAAGTGTCTCAATCTTTTTCTTTTTCCAATCAAACTTTTATTTCTGTATTATAACATATTTTAGGGATTAATGTTTTATTTTTCTATTTTTAATTTACAATGAATATTTATTAGTTTATTAAATATTATGTGTTAATTACTAACATGACCATCTCTTCATGATGTTTTTTTAAGTATCTCTTCATGATGTTTTTCATGAACATGCTCTTTTAATATTAGTCCTAATAAATTTGGATTTCTAGCATATATACTTGATCCTTTGAATGATTCTATACTTTTCTTTGGAAATAGGTCCTATTGTTAAAATTATTAAACGGTAATGCCTATTCACATAACGATTTGCCACTACCTCATTACATGAAACCCAGGAGTTCACCACATAGTGGTAAAGCGAGAGTATGGGAAACAATGTGTACACTTTTTATGACCCATTGATTTTATCGCAATCCCAATCAAATTTATTTTAAACTTTAATTACATGTCCAATCCTTAATCATAAATTCGAACATAACCTTTAAACAAATTTTTAAAAAAAGTAACACTTACTTTTATGTGATTAAAATATATTCATCATTTGAATCACATGTTAGGTCAACAAAGTGATTAGTTATCGTAATTTTTAATACTTTTTTACCTTGAAGAAGCTTAAGGAAAATTCCCCAAATATTAATAAAACCGTGAGAAAATGTCAAAATAAGACTTTCATGTTTCATTCCCAAAATATGAGCAACTAATGCCATGTTTAGAAAATCCTGTCGGGCATGTTTAAAATTTCATACTCCAAAAACATGGTAGTAATTACTCCTACTTCAGAAAATAAAAAAATGGAAGACCTATTTTGGAAAACATGGAAGTCCCAGACTTGAACAAACCATAAGAAACTAGACTTAAACACACCAAACCAAACGAAACCTAATTACACTTAAACATATTAGACCACATCAGACTTTAACAGTTATAACAAAATCAGATTTAAACATATCACAAAATTTCAGTCAAATTAAAAACATTTACAATTTTAAAAATTAAAATTACATTGCAAAAATTTTCAGGCCTACAATTTAAAAATAGATTTATCGGTCTACCATTTCTTTCAAGAATTTTTGTTACTTGCACAAAAATAAATAACATTTACAATTTAAAATATTATTAAAAATTAAAATGTTCATGATATTTTACTTATAATAACCCATTCGGTAATAGTAAAATTGGCTTAATCGGCTTAAGCAGATGAAGCGGTAAATTGGTTGAACCTGCTAAGGTATACAAAACATACGGTTAAAATAATTTTGAGGCAAAAAATAAAGAAATAATTATATGAAATATAGACAAAATCAATCGAACTTAAACAGATCAGACCGGTCTTAAACAGACAAGACCGGACTTCCATAGTTATAAAATACACAAAGATCAAACATTTACTATACCACGCCAGTTCAGACCAGACCATACCAGAGTTAAACGACCCAGACCAGACCAAACGAGCAAATTTCGATTCAAGTAAAAACATCCTAAATTCCAACAATTCAACCATAAAAATAACTTTGACCTTATCAAACTTATCTTGATAATTTATTTACACTTTACCAATTCAATATCGGTGACACTTTTTATAATGAGTTTAGCAATTCCCTCTTAATCGAAGTTAAAGGGATCAAAGTAGTACGTAGTATTATTTTTGTCAAATATATCTCTTAATTATCAAAATTCTTTAATTGTACCATCAATACCTATGTACGTTACTTTTTCACAATCACTCATGATAATTGCTAAATAATACTAAATAATGATGTTAAATAATGATAAACTATTTATTATGGTGAGGCTGAATTATAGGAACTTTGTCAGGAGAGCTTATATGGAATACAGAGTATATGGAATTGGTACAGATTTTGTGAGTGTCATAGCAACAACCAAAGAATCATGTTCGGTGATTGTTTCCAAAACAATAAAACATCATATTCATCATATCAACGCCACTTTTATGGTCACTCAAATTAATTACGGACTATCAATAATATAATCACAAACTGATTTGCGTATTATTATGATATATATGATATATGATATATGATATATGAAGTGAAATGAAATCAATGAGTAAATATACATTAAATAATAATATATATAATATATATTAAATAATAATAATATGGAGTAATTCCGTATTATCTGCCCTTACTAAGTACTATAAAAGGACAACTACTTTTCCTTTCATCTTTACATTTCAGCTCAAATTCAACTTTATTTTCCTATTCTTGATTCTTGATTTGCTGTAGGATGTTTTTAAACTTGCTCAGTATTTGATGTTCTCCAATTTCATACTTCACTCCATGTACAAAGGTACTGTGTTGTTTTATTAATTTCATTTCCTGGATATGTTCAAATGGTAAGGTCATATGAAAACCTCTATCATACTTACAAATACATCGTTCTTCTATTATATAGTAGTAAATAGTTTCAGACAAATGGCTTATTATGCTATTCTTTGTATGTTTTTTTGTTATTGTTATGTATTATATAGTATTGTATATGTTACTTGGATATTACTGTCCACATGTAGGATGTTTTTAATCCACCCCCAAGTGTGGAGTTCCGGACTTTCATATTTGCCCCAATCTACATCCTACCGAGGTAATGTTATGTTCAATTTAAATCATACTATTTTTTCCACAGGTAGAATACAAGACATAATGATTCATTTCATCCCATAATTTGTGTTATGATTCGTTTAAGTTCACCCTGGTAAGAACTTTTTTTTTGCCTGATCTCGAAACATCTATATTTAGGGGTGGGAAAAAACTGACCTAAAACTCGATAACCGACCCATTCAACACCACCCGACTCTAACCCAACCCAAACTAGAGGCCATTAAAACTCAAACAAGCCTGAGCGTATTGATCCTCCGAACGGGCACAAAAATGAAGAACCCGAAAAATTACTGTTTTTACGGTCCTAGCCATAACCCGACCGAACTTGACTCGATCCCACCCCAACTATATTATCTATACTTAGTATTCACCGAGTCTAATTACTATTCATAAATTATGGTACATTTCTTATGTTTTCAAGATAAAATACGTTGCTTTTCAACATAAAGAAT